GTAACATCGTTTAATCTTTTGTAGTTTACACAAAATCTGTAACTACCGTTCGGTTTTGTTACCAAGACAACTGGGCTACTCCATGGAGAATATGAAACTTCTATGAGATCATTTTTTAACATCTCATCTATTTGATTTTTAATTTCATCTTTCTCTGATTTACTTGTAGGATATGCCCTCTGTTTTATTGGCTGAGCATTACCAGTATTAATAGTTAATTCAATATCTTTTGCTCCCTTAATGTTGCCAATTGTAGTCCCAAACAAATGTTTATATTTGTTAAGTAGCTTTTGAAAACTTTGTTTATTATCATCAGATTCATATTTAATTATTGATAGGTCAATAGACTCGTTGTTGTCATCACAGACTACATTAACTTTGTCTATCTTTAATTCACTTTCGGGTATTTCGTAGAATTTCCCAATTAAAGTGTTTTCAGATATCTTATATCCATAGGATTTGTTATTATAAACAATTATTTTTGTAATTGTTTTGTTCAACTCAACAATTGTTGAATTAATACTTAAATTTGTTGTTTCAATAAAGTGTTTATTTGGCACAAAATAAACAAAATTATTAGTATTTATTTTGTTGTAGTTTGAAACGACTTTTAATTTTTTTATTGATTTCTTTTTAATTAAAACATTTTTGAATGTATAGACCCCAAATCCGCCTGATCGATAACGTGGAGGTGGTAAATTAATGACATCAATCTCTAAGTCAATATTTACATTATTTGTTTTAAGAAAGTCATGTCCGATTAAGATATCGTCATGCATACCCTCGTAAATTAAAAATGTATGTTCAAACGTTTGTTCTTTGAGTTCAAATTTTAAGTCAACGGATTCATCTAAAATATGGGTACTTTTATCCAATAATTTAATTTTTTTTGAAGTTTGGCGATCAGATTGTATATCGAGTAAATTAAGTACACTGCTTTTAACTAAAGATACTGTACTTCCGGTATCAATAATAGCATTAATTGTATTATTATCAATTTTAATTTGGGCTGTAATTAATTTTGTATCCACGTTATTAGCAGAAGTGAGTTTAATACATTCGTAAGGTAAGTCGTCGTTATATATCTTTAATATTGAGTGTATTTCTTCTTCGACAAAATTAGTACACTCGTTTAATTTTGTCTCGAGGTGTTTCCCTCATTTTTCTTTGAATCTTTTTTCAAGTCCGGACAATCTCTCTTAAAGTGACCCTCTTTTCCGCAGTTAAAGCATCCAGTAGTTTTTCTGTCTTGAAAAGGTTTCTTATACTTATCATAAGTATATCGGACATTTTTATTTGTTTTATCAAAAGGTTTGTTTTTATTTTGATAAGTGTTCCCAATTGTTGTTCCTTTCAACTGTTTCATAACACGTTGTGTGACAACGCTAATCATATCGGGCTTTGTATTGTCCGTATGAACAGTTTTATTCTGTAGGCCACTATTGCATTGTTGTCCGAATTTATTAGTGTTTGGTTGGGCTATTTTTTTGCCAAACTTGACAGCTTCTGCGTACTGTACCCGTTCATATCTCGGCCGTCTGTTATCTGTAAAGTTTCTATCTTTTCGAGCTTTTGACATAAAGTCGTCACTACCCTTAATAACGGAGAATAGTTCTTCGACAGCTGTACATTTATGAGTAATCAAATTGCGATTAACCTCATTCTGTAGTCTCGGCTCTAGGTTTTCGACAATTATTCGCATCTGCTCCTCGACATCCATTTTCGGAGCATATGATTCAATTAATGCTAGTATTTCATAAAAATACTGTTGTACCGATTCTTTGTCCTTCTGTTTCCTGGCTTGAATGAGTGCCGTCGGCGATTTCATTATGAAAAAGTTATAAAACTTTTCCTTTAAAGCTTCCAATATTTCGTCTAATTTCAGAGCTGAGTTTTGTTTAATAGATCTCAAATAATAGTACTTCGCAGCTGGACATTGTTCGAAAGCAATGTACAGATTGTCCACCTCCTCTTCTGCCGTCCATTTGCGAATTCGACTCACTGCCTTATACTCTTGAGACCACAAAGTAAAATCTTTATCCTCAGAAAATTTTGGTATTGGAATTTTATTCCCTTCCCGAGAATGGTGTGTGTCACCTATTGGCAACGGTGGTGCAGATGGTCTTCGACGATTATCTGCTAAATTATGTGCTATATTTGTTGACACACTGGCCGCTGATGTTATCTCATCGTATGTAACACTTTCCTCTGGCTGTTGGAAATGTTCTGGCTTATCGTCCGTATCCATTGCAAAATTTTTAATGATTAAAATAACTTTTATTTAAAACAACTTTAATTAAATATTTTGATTAACAAATACGTATATAATTAATTCAATAATATTCTTTAACATATAATTATATAATTAATTGATTAAATATAGATTAACATATAAGTTTACTGTTCAATACAAGATAGACATTTAAATCAAAGTATTCAATTCATAATCATTAAGTCCAGCAAACTGTACTTCACGTCTATTATTTCGACGCCTATTTCTTGAATGAGCTCTTAGAATTGCCAGTTGTCTTTGTGCCCTTTCTGCGTTTGCCATATACGTCACATTTCGATTTTCTTCACCTGGTGTTTGCTTGTAGACACTAACAATTGCGTCACCAAAGTTGACCATATTAAATGATTTGGGCACGCCTTCTGTCTTGTATTTTAACTCGGATAGGTTACATTTTATAGTTTGATATACTTTCTTTAAAGGAAACCCTTTCTCGTTTAATCCGATTATGAATACTTTTGCTTGCAATTGATAACAGAGATCTTTGTCTTTATTTTTTGTAACAATCCATTTATTCAATGCATTTGTTATTATTATTGAGCTGACATTTGTTAAATCCATATCAATTTTAAAATTAAGATATATCAGTTCAGGTAATGTATATGCCAAATAGTTCACATTGTGTGAATGTGAGATAAACAAACTAAATTTATCATTAATTGTCTCATAATTAAAATAATCACCATGTCCACCCCAATGTTCTTTGAAGATAAGTTTTCGACCAAAATCGTATTTTAAAAATAGAAACAACATCACAATAACCAATACTAAAAATACAATTTCAATAATAGCTGTTGCTGACGTAAATATTGAAATAATCTCTTCCTTTAAATTACCAAAGGGATTTACATAGCTTATTATATCTGGCATTGCGTTAGCTGACCGTGGTATAGATATAGCAAATCCGGCACCCAACAATCGGAAATAACGCGTGTATGTTATAAACCCAAAAACCATAATAAAGGTTATAATCATTTGGGTAAACTCTCTGACCATCCCAATATAATACCAAAACATTGACTTTGTTTTGAATGTATATAAATTGTTTTGCATGTCTTTAACGATCTGTTGAATTGCTTTTTGAATTTTTAATGCATTACCAGCTATTTTAGTCAACTGTCCATCAGATAGGACAGCATTTTTACTTATTAATGCCGTCTTATTGAATACTGATTCCAGATTTTCCATATGATAATCTGATATCTGATCCCATGGATCTTCAGTAAATCTTTTTGAAATTTTATGAATCAAACTAGACTTGTATGAGACGTGTCTTACTTCATGAATTGATTCCAATTCTTCAGAATATGGTGCTAAAAGAGTTTGTCCGGTACTGTTAATAAAAATGTCACAATTTGATTTTAACTGAATAATATCACACCAATAAGTAGTTATTATTTGTTTTGGTGACTCGTGTCGACATAACTCAATGTAATGTGAAACCATTTGTTTATGAATGGCATATACGTAAGGTAATACAGGTATTACTCCGTACTCCTGTTCTTGTCTGTATTTTATAACACAGCTTTCGACTATTGCTGTTTCATTCCAATCAAATATGGCGCGAGAACACGGTGTTGGATTTTGTAGTGTGGTCGGAAAATAAGTATAACAGGTTTTTTGACCGACTGAACTTAGGCAGTCCAAAGATTGTTGCATGATTTCATAATCAAGTTTACCGCTATCCTCATTAAACATCCAACTAACTTCTCCCAAATCAAAGGTTATTAAAGCTTGTTTTTCGTTATTTGCTACGAATTTACAATCATTAGTATCACATGGTATGGGCAAAAACGATGGTTTGATTATTGTAAATTGATTTTGTAAATGTCTTGGTTTTATTGGTATTTGCATATGAATGTATAGATAACATTTATTATCCATTATTCTCAGATCGTGTCCAGCAATTGGTAGCTTATAATACAATCCAAAATCAGTTTTTCTAATTGCCAACTCGTAATTTGTCGGCAAATTACTTTTAATTTCTTTTAGTATTTCCTGTATTTTGTTAAAATTAATCAGTTTTCGTGGCAATTTTCCGTGAGAAAGTTCAACAAATATAAGATCCCATTCACGTAAACTATCGAGTTCTAGTGTTGTTAATTGTTGTAAAGACAGTGCTTGTATGGTAAGTATTCGATGAACGTGGTCAATTTTAGCTTTATGTGTCACGTATTTGGCCATCGAATCAATTTGTTGATTCATTGACTCCTGAATTATTGTCATTTTCTTGTTAACATTTTCGGCAAAATCGGCAACATTTTTTGCTAAAAGTGCCGTTTTATTTGCAAATGTCTCAATAGTATTGTGTAAAAATCCCATATGTTTTTCCAAATTATCAACTCTATCTCTTAAACCACGAGTGGTAAGATATCCAGCAGCCGCTCCTGACAATCCGCCAACAACCAGAGCTGCGACAGCTGCTGTTACTAAGGCTACCGTAAATGGTTCACGTTTTATACGTTTGTGTGAAGTTATAAACTCTTTTCTAGATTCCTCCAATATCTTAATCGTGTCCTCATATAGTTTTTCATAATACTTATATATATCTTTACACATATGTCCGTCGGAGCCTCCATATTTAGACAATAATTGTGGGTTGATTTCTTGTATGACTATATTTGATCTGCTTACATCCACATAACTGAGTTGATTTCTATTGTATATTTCAATTATATTCTGATTTATCGTATCTCTATAAACATTTTTTTGTGGGGTTTTTTCTATTATTTTAAATCTTGGATTATTCAAAACTTCCGATTCTGTTATACACTGCAAACATAATTTAATTTCGTATCGCAAAAATATTGATATCATTAACTTTGAACTTTAATAACTTTTTTATTTTTTAACTTAAATAAACAAATTTGATATCAAATGAAAGAACACTTTTCAAAGTTTATAAGTCAATAAATAAAATTGCATTAATTATCATATTATCTATAAAAAAGCATAAGAAGTAAGAAATGGTAAAAAAAGTTATGTACAAAAAGTATTTTCGTGAAATCAAAACTTTAAATATTATTAACAAAATAAAGCTATTAATTTAGTAAAAACAATATTAATATCGAGTATTGCCTCCGTTGGCATCAATCACAGCCTGCAATCTTCTTGGAACACTTTGGATCAGCTTTTCTGTGACTTCTTCAGGTATATTTTTCCAGACATTAAATAACGACTCTTTAAACGCAGAAAAACTTTTTCTTTCGCTCTTTGGCACACGTCTGTCCAATTCATCCCATAGATGTTCAATAATATTGAGGTCAGGGCTCTGTGGCGGCCACTCAAGTGTCTCAATTTGATTGTCAGACAACCATTTCTTTGCCAATTTTGATGTGTGCTTTGGGTCGTTGTCCGCTTGAAATAAAAAATCATCGCTTATTTGTAGATCTCTGGCACTCTGAAGCAAATGTGGGGTCAAAATATCGTTAACGTAAATGTAGCGGTCCATAGTTGATGGAATTTCGACCAAATGGCCAACTCCCTGGCCTGTCATACACCCCCATACCATAACTGATTTCGAGTGCTTCACAGTTGGACATATATTATCAGGATTAATGCTTTCGCCTCTCTTTTTAAACACTCGTTGGCGACGTTTAGTACTAATAATCTCAAATTTTGACTCATCTGACCACAAGACCTTCCTCCAGTATGACATAGGCATCCGGATGTACTTTCGTGCAAAGTCTAATCGTTTTCTCTGATTTGTTAGGCTTATCATTGGACGTCTTCGCGCAATACCACTGTAATAACCCATTTCTTGAATCCGGTGTCTAATAGTGTTTCTGTGACACAAAATGTTTCTGGCGGCCAACTCTTCCTTAATCTCATCGGTGGTCAACTTCTTATTTTTTGCCACAATTCGACTCAATATCCTGTCCTGTTTAGCACTGGTACATCTTTTTCGACCACTTCTTGCGAGATTTCTAACTGTCCCGTACTTTTCGACTTTCTTTACAATTGATCGGACAGTATTATCAGTTGTTGTAAACAGTTCCGCTATTTTTGCGTATGACTTTCCGGTGCTGACTCTCATATCATACATTTGTTGGCGAATTGCATCTGAAAATTCTTGTATTTTAACCATTTTTATGATAATCACTGCATTTACTGTTTATTTACGTGTATTCAAATTAATAACAATGCATTGGAATCAATTGGTCCCAACAATGTGTCTGAAATCACGCGCGTTTTAAAAACACGAAAATAATTTTTGTACCTAAATTATTAACACCTATAACTTTACCTTGATATATTTTGTTATTTAAACCATTGTTTTGACCATCTAGTATATCAATTTAATTGTGATTTATTACTCTATTATTTGATATCAAATTTGTTTATTTAAGTTAAAAAATAAAAAAGTTATTAAAGTTTAAAGTTAATGATATCAATATTTTTACGATACGAAATTAGATTATGTTTTTAGTGTAGATTCATATGAAAATATATTCATACATTTTACAACAATACCATCCAAATTAATTTTTGGAGGCGATTGTATTTCAATTTTTATATAAGCATCCCATGACTTTTCAAACACATATGCTCGCCCAGTTTTGACAAAATTAATACCATTTACCGAGCTATTAATTAAGTATTCAGGATTTGTGAATTTACTTGCAGACTTAGGTTGACTATAACTCATATCAATAGACTCAGATAACTTTAAAGAAATATCATTTTCATCTTCAAAGTCAGGTTCGGGTTCAATCATTTCATCAGGCGTTGGCATCCATCTTCCACCTCCATATTTGAATTTTCTTTCAGGTACAGGACCAGTTCTGTTTCTTTTAGGCATATCTTTCCAATTATATTTAAATTTTACTTCTTTAAATCTATCAGGCAAACTTTTAATTTCATTTTCGTCAATTTTTATTGAAGTTTCTTTTTGTCTCTTTTCTTCCAAAATTGTCTTATTATTGATATTATTTGATAATGTAGTCAATATTTCCTCATCGTTAGTATTGTTTAGATTAGAAGTTAATGTTTCGTTGTAAATATCTGCCGTTGTATTTTTGTTGTCAATGATCTCTTCAGAACTTTTCACTTCTTTTTCCAATATTGTAGTAGTAACATTATTTATTGACTGTTCAGTGAACACCTGTCCTTTACCGTCTTCATATTTACCAAATAAGATACTTCTTTTCGATACACGATAACTTTTAGTTTCAACAAAAATAGTTGAGAATAACAAATAATACACAAGTTTAAATTTCCACATATTCAATTTTATTTAAATTGTAAACAATTAATAAAAATTCTTAAACAAAATTAAAATTTAATTTCTTATTCGTTTAAAATTTGGAAAGTCTTTATTAAACTTTTCCCTAATCCATTGATAGCCATTAATATTTGGTATTTTATTACGTAAATGCTTACAATAAATCTTTGCGCACAATCGCGCGTCTGTGATTGGATTATGAGTTTGAATGTCCGCAACGTCATGTATTTTTTTGTTTAATATGGCGTAACTCAAATACATAAGTCCTATTGGTTGACCTCTATTGTCAATAAAGATGTCTTTTAAATCCACTATCATGTTATGTGATATACTGTTGTCCAATTCCAAACACTTGAAATCATTGAGTATATCAATACCGACAATAATTTTTCCAACAATAATTTCCTTAAGTGTTTGTTTGACTTCTTTAAATGGTACAGCTTTTTCGCCGTGCAGTGTCGGCTGTAAACCTGACCAACGATTAAGATAGCTTTTGATTTCATTCCGCTTATATTGTATCTTAGCCGCGTATACCAACTGATCATTATCACTATTACCATTGAGCTTCTTATCAAATGCTATTATGGCTAAATAACCTGCGATTAATTGATTGTTTTGTCCTTTTAATTTTTCCAAATCGAGTGACAAGTATTTGTATTTCGTTAGTAAATCCTTGTTGATAATTGATGGCTTTCGACCACTGGCCGTTCCTTGATGTTGTTTTATTTTACCTTTACAACTTTTTTCTGTATGCCCGTCATTACCACACATATAGCACCGATAGCAATTATATGGATGATGTTTAAAATTGTAGCCGTTTTGTTTGCATTTTATACAAATTTCAAAAACTCCAAATAAATCTTTATAAATATATGGTTTGTCCAATGTTTTATTTTCTGTTAATAAACAACACGATATTAGTTTTATTGCAATTTTATTTATCTGACAATTTTGACTTGATCTACAGTTAACAATTTGTCACAATAACTCTTATGCAATTTATAGCACATGTTTAGATTAGTTTTATTTATTGATACACCATTTGCTGTAAACTTAATACCTAAATCAGGTATGTAAAGTGAACTAACGAATGATCCACTACTAGACATTCGTGGTTTGTTGACATATATCTCAACACCGTAAACCTCACGAAATCTCTTTAACATAAGATTCGACGGGTTATAAAAAATTGATTGATTACCTCTGGTGTTTATCAATTCACTTGGTTTAATTTTTGCCACCCGTAGTTCATCTTTAACTCTTATAAACCGAGCGTCTTTATTTAGCCTGTGATTATTGAGGTCAATAATCTGACCAACACCAGATTGTGTAAAGTGAATAGCCTTGTTATTCATAACAACAAAATTTATAAAAGGGTAATAAGCCGGGACAAGATATTCGAGTATTTGTGTGTTTGTATTGTAAATCTCTATCTGTATCGGCTCCGACATAACGACAAGTTTATTGTCGCTTATCTGCAATCGAATCACTTGTTTGCCCAATATACTGAACGTTCTTCCGATACTATGCTTAAGTCCTTCGTTATGATACACGGCCACCACATTGGATATTTTATCGGCTGTCGTTATGTAAGTGTCAGCAACGAAGAGATAATTTTCACTCATTGCAAGTGATAATCGTCCGCCTAATATGGCATCATTTTTGATCCAAAATCGACGACTAATACGAATAAAATTTCGGTGAATATATTCGAAAACAATCACCCCAATTTTATTTTCAAACTGTACAATACATGGCACAAAGCTTGATAGGTCATTGTGATCCAATAAGGTCACACCATGTACAGGTAACATTAGGTCAGCGACCTGAAATCCACCACAGAATTTTTTATTTTGTAATTTTAGTTGATATACTTTGCCATTTCGAAGAAATACCAATTTATAGAAACTTTCAGTGATAGCTGTTACAATTGGTATACGACAGTATTGTTTGTAACTACGATCTCCCGTTTCCTCTGAATATTGCGTGATATAGTTATTTGTTATAACAAAAACGTAATCTTTAGGTGTCTTTGGCTTAATATCAATAACCTTTTCATTGACAATATTATTAAACCATGGTGTCAACTCCACACCAGAGAAGTAATGATATTTACTAATGCGACCATTACTATAACCCACATAAAAACAATCGGTTGATGTTACAAATGCGGTGACAGTGTTGTTACCTGTCAGTGTATACCGTCTCGGGTTTAACGAAAATTTAGGATACATATCATGAGATACTTTTTTTATATCAAATCTCCTTTGTCCGAACGGCGGCAATTTAAAAAAACCATCAGCAGGTTCACGCTTTGAAAATATGTTGGGCTTAACAACTTCATTGTTGTGGTTGACATTTTTGTTAGTGTTGACAACGAATTTATTGTTGTTAATGGACTTGTTGTTGTTAACGGTTTTGCTGTTAACGGGTCTGTTGTTAACGGGTTTGTTGTTAACGGAATTATCGTTAGTCGACTTTTGTTTGACAACTACCGAATTCAGTTTTGCACAAATTTTTGGTCTGACGGTCACCTCCTGTACGTAGGTTTTCGATTTGCGTGAAGTCTTTTGTTTTTTTTTATTATTGCTGTCATTTTCGTCGTCTTTATCTTTATATGCTTTTAATCGTTTGTTGCGATCAATGTCTTCCGTAGTTTTTTCTGGTAATACTATCGCATCATAATTTAAGCGATCATGTATTGTTATACCGTCTGTAATATTGTTATCGGCAATTGTGTCGGATTGCACTTCTATAGTTATAGTCTCAATAGGTATAGTTATGTCGCACTCTCCAAGGTCACTACTTGATGTGCCATTTTCTATGGATATTTCTTCAGCGATTTTTTCGCTAATTAACTCTTCAAACAATTGGTTATACTCTTCGGGTAGTATTAGTTGAATCTCTTCGGATATCAGCGCATCCATCTCTTGAGATGTTGTTAATGTTGTCTCTTCGGGACTTTTCGATCCCATTTCTGAGAAAATAAACACTTACGTTAATCTCTTGAATTCAATATTAATAAAAAAAATTACTGAAAACTTTTTGGTTTTCAGGCCCGCAATCCAGCGGAAAAAAAATTATCGAAACGGCCTATTGGCCAGACCGACCAGGAACCCGGTTGGTTCAAACCGACCCTTTTTAACGGCGGTTCCCAGTTACCTGTGACTATATCGGCACCTACCTTTCCCTCGCTAGGTCCGACAATCACTACCAATTAATTTTAATAAAGCGCGTGCGGCTTTTTTGACCAGCACCGCTGCCACCACATAAAATGTGGCCCGCTTTCATTTACCGATTCTGGCCGTTCAGGCCACACCCACGGTCAGTGCTGTTCGGCACTCGACCGCCCGTACTCCCCAACTATTATATATTTACACTTACTTTTCAAAATATTATCAATCAGTTTTTATATTGAATGTCTTTATTGAATTTATTAGTAATACATTAATTACATGTTTTAATAAACTGTTAGGTTTGAGTACAAAAGCCAGAATGGCTTAAAACTAAAAAACATATTATTATAAGATAATATTTTTACATCAAATAATATTCAAAAATTACTCATCAATATTATAGCTATTTAGTGGTTATACCATATAAGGAAAAATAATTGAATAATTATTATGCAAATGAAGTTAAACACAAATTCAAGGATATATATTAATTAAAAAAGTAACATCAAAAATATAAACTTAACATTCAATTGTAAATGTATATGTAAATCTAGTAGTATATTAATATAGCTGTATATATAGACAATTACATGTCATTATATTTTATAATAGAATTGCTAAAGGGGGTGGCTATGGTAAAGTAAGACCTCTTACCCCCACCCACATAGATCGAGAATTTTGGATTTTACCCCCCCCCAGGGCCTAGAGACAAAAAATTAGGAGGCCTCCTACAATGTAAAAATGCAGTAAAAATATTCACCCACCCTATACCCCCACCCCCTGAAATCCCTGAAAACCTTTAGCAATACTGTTATATATATTATTATAATATATCGTAAAAAATATTATATCATATATTAATAATATAGGGCGATGAGGGTTCACCAGTTGTCGTATCAATAATTGATAATCAAATACAACCAAAACAACAACGTATAGGCTCTGGTTTGATGTCATTATTAGGAAATGAAAATCAAAGAAAAAAATCCCAGTTATTAATCGGTATACTATCAAGTGATCTGACCTGCGGTACGGTCGATGGCGGCGGCGGACAACCCAATATAGTTACCAGTGTTGCTCCGTATAGACAATGGATTAAAGAGAAAACTGGGATCTAATTAGTAATAATTATAATAATAAAAATACTATAATATAATAATTTTATTAATTAATTATTTTTTCTCAGATTTAAAAAAAAATATTATTTTAATTATTTGAGTTTTATTTTTTAAATAATAATTTGTTTTGAAATATAATAATTATTTTATAAACAAATATATATATATATCAAAATTTTGTTTTTTCTTGAATTTTTTTTTAAATATTTCAGTTAAATATTTTTTTGTTGAAATAATTTTTCAAAGATTGTACAATAAAATCAAATACAATAAAATATTTTTTTTATATATACAGTAAAACCAATTTACTGTAAACAACAATCTTAATATATGGATCCCATTGACAGAAATTACTTATATAGAAACTTTCTAGAAATTTCCCTATTATTTTGTAGATTTTTACTTTTAATTGCAAACACTTCTTATAATATACGTAATTACATGAATACATGTGAAATTAGATACTATTATTTAAAACATATTAATATAAAATTATATATATATATATATATTGATATATAATTTTATATAGTATACGTGTATTTTAGTTTAGGAAAATATATTTTAATACAAAAAAAACATATATTAATTAATTATCATAGCTTTAATATAGTAAAATTGATCACAAATCATAAAACAATAAAAACAATAATAATGTTAATTTTTGGCCAATTAGTCCAAATTGTTTTATTAGTATTATTATCAGTAAATATTTTGCTAACCAAAACTAGCGCTGATCTCTGCGATGATACTACTATTACTAATACTAATCCGACTACTTCTACCCCTATCCCTACTACTACTACTACTGCAGCTGATCCAACTACTACTAGGGGATCTATAATAGGTAGCCGTATATTTGAAAAACATAATTTAGGTTTTTCCATATCATTGATGACCAAAACTGATGGCCAACATTTATGTGGCGGTTCTATAATCAGTCCCCATTGGATACTAACAGCAGCCAGTTGTGTATATAAGTAAGTATTATAGTAATTTTATAATATTTATATATATATTGTGTGTTATTGTGTTATATACGTAATTATATGAAAAAAATTTATCATAAAATTCTTAAAAATCCTGGTGTGCAGTATTGAGTATTATTGAATTTTAAAACATTTTCATCAAAAAAAAAACCAAAAATAAATGGGTTAAAAAATGGTTTTGTAAATTCCCCCATTAAATTAACTTAATATTTCCAACAACAAAAAATTATGGTTATTTCTAAAATAATTTTCATTAATAGATATAAAAAATATTAAATTTTTATTAAAATTAAAATATAATATAATTAGCTACAATTACTAGTTTAAACTTGAAGTTAAAATTCTAAAAACAAAATTTAGATTTCATCATATTTTCCTTAATTTTAAGAAACAATTTTTGGTTTAAAAAAATTTTCGGGAAAAAGTTTAATTGCAAAACTGTTGGTTGTAAGGGTTAATGGTATTTTTGTTTACCCATCCCCATGCATATATAAGTTATTTATATCTATATATTTAAATCAACTAACAAATAAAATCATTATTCATTAATATATTCATATTCATAATATAATTCATTTTGTTTTTATTTTATTTTACCCCCACCACCACTACCATCCCCCGCCCCGTTAAACCACTCTATCGTTCAATCAATTTCCATAGTCGTCCAGTTTATAGCTTTATTATAGGTATGAGAAATGATTATTATAATGGAAAAAAATGATCAACGAAACGGTCGACCAAATTGTTATACATCCGCAATACTCGGCCGAAACTCACGAAAACAATATAGCATTGGTTAGGGTTGACGGCTATATTCGTGACCACATATTGAACGATATAATAGGATTGTCAGATAAACCAGTTGCCAACTGGTCGTTAGCCTATGTACACAGTTTGAAACCAGTGCCCCAAACGGATAGCTATTTTAATCCCAGAGCGAGAACACTGAATACCCGGACAGTCGGTTTGCAACAGTGCACGGCTATGATATCATTGTCGGCGACAACAACAACAACAACGGACAACAATACCAACACGAATGCGACAACAAAAACACCGATTATTAATGAAAATAAAGTTTGTTTGGTTGCCTCTAAAGGAAAGGGTGTCTGTAATGTTAGTATTAAAAAATAAATAGTATAGTAGACATGATATATATTTATATATTTATATATATATTTTATATTACAATTTCTATTTATACTATAGAGAGAGAGAGAGAGAGAGAGAGAGAGAGAGAGAGAGAGAAATTTTAATTTATAATTTTGTTTTATTTATTTATTTGAAATATTTATCTAAAATAATATTATTAAATAATAACAACAATAGGGTGATGAAGGTAGTCCAGTAACAATAGATAATCAAATTCAACCGATTAAACGATATAATAATAATAATAATAAACTATTAGTCGGTATTGTATCGGTCGACTTGTCCTGCGGTCTCGTGGGCCGACCCGATGTCGTTACCAGTATTCAGCCATATCTACAATGGATTAACGAGAAAACCAATATAAGTGCTATTAGTAGTAGTAATAGTAATATTACTACTTCTACTACTACTAAAAATGATAATAATCCAAATAATAATACTGTAAATCGTCCGATACTCGGTTTACCCGATTATTCGGTTTATTTTACCGGTTTTCCCGTGTCGTTGATCAATGAATTTATTGAACACTATTGTGGCGGCGCTATAATCAGTCCGTATTGGATATTAACAGCAGCCAGTTGTGTATATAAGTAATATATATATATTTAAATTTATTTTACTCTTTTTAATTAATGATTATTTCCTCTATTTCTTCCATATCACACACACCATCACACTATCCAACCCTAACACCAACCCTAAACACCAACACAAACACCAACCCTATCACCAACACCAAAACAGTCGTCCGATTTCTAGTTTATTTGTTAACGTCGATAATCCAAAATATGTTATTAATGAAACGGTTATTATACGGTGTCGACCAAATCATTATACACGACCAGTACTCGCCAGTCACTAAATTAAATAATATAGCACTGGTTCGGGTCCAACCATATATTACGGACAAAAATAATAACTTACAGATAGTTGAATTGGCCGATAACAACAACCAATCAGTTATAGCCAATGGAATAGAGGCTCTTATAGCCGGTTCTGAATCTAAATCTGAAACAATACTAGCAATGGGTTATTCACAATACGTACAGACAGTTGATTGGCAACAGTGTAAGTCTAGGATGACTACAATGGTTAACGGTATTACTACTACCATCACCACCACCAACAACAACACAGACAGCAGTCATCTTTGTTTGATAGACAACAAAAAACAGTCAACCTGTAAGGTAAGTGCCAAGAGTTGGTATAAAGGTGTCAGTGAGTGAGTGAGTGAGTGAGTGAGTGAGTGAGTGAGGGCGTGAGTGAGAGAGAGAGAGAGAGAGAGAGAGAGAAAATAAAAATGAGAATTAATTAATTTTTTGTAAATTATATAATACATTATATATATACAATATTATGTATATATATTATGTAATTATCATATATTATGTAATTATCATATATTATGTAATTATCATATATTATGTAATTATCATATATTATGTAATTATCATATATTATGTAATTATCATATATTATGTAATTATCATATATTATGTAATTATCATATATTATGTAATTATCATATATTATGTAAAATATTATATCATATATTAACAATTAGGGCGATGAGGGTTCACCAGTTGTCGTATCAATAATTGATAATCAAATACAACCAAAACAACAAAAACAAAGCCTTAGTTTGATATATCAATATAACTTTGAATCTAAACCAACAAAAAAACCAATTAAATCCCAGTTATTAATCGGTATACTATCCAGTGATCTGATCTGCGGTACGGTCGGCGACGGCGGCGAACAACCCAATATAGTTATCAGTGTTGCTCCGTATAGACAATGGATTAAAGAGAAAACTGGGATCTAATTAGTAATAATTATAATAAAAATACTATAATCTACTAATTATTAATAACTATAACTATAGCTAGTTATAACTAATAATTTGATAAATTAATTATTTTTTTCTCAGATTTTTAAAAAATATTATTTTAATTATTTGAGTTTTTTTTTAAATTAATAATTTGTTTCAAATATAATAATTATTTTATAAACAATTTTATATACAGTATATCAATATTATCAAAATTATTAGATTAAAATGTTTTTTAAAATTTTATTTTAAATATTTCAGTTAAATCTTTTGTTGTTGAAATAATTTTTAAAGTTTTTAAAATTAAATTGTAATTTCTTAAATATATATATATATATATATATATTATATACAGTGTATTACACACAAACATATTCACACAAACATGCGCTTTAAAACAATAATTTAGTCAATCAATAGCCATATTTAGTATTTTTATATACAGTTACAGTTTTGTTTGTTTTTATAACAAACTTTTTTAAACATATGATATGTATGTCTAACCAAACAGTAATGGCATCTGAAAAATATAAGACAACTAAAAATCCCAGAACTGATCTATCATTAGCTGATCTGTCAACGGATGACAGCGTCAACAACCCATTGAAACAGTCAGCCGCCGTCGAAGATGATGATGACTACCTTTCGCACACAACCTACCGGACAACTACCCGACCTAAGCAGCCGTGGCAGTCATCGCTAACAATGCACCGACTGGTAGTGACAGTCGGCTTCATTAGTCTACTTGTCTATGCAGTTGCTATTACGGTCAGTTATGTGCACCTAGTGCGCGAAAGGGACAGTTTGGAGGGACAGTTGGCCGGTAAGGCTATTGTCGAAGAACATGTCTGGTCGCTAAACAATAGGCTAAACGATTTGAAACTGGATCTGATTCGAGCCGAAAGTATTATCAAAGATAGGGAACGGCAGCTGTTGGCCAACAATAGGACACTGGAGGACAATCGTCGCCAATTACAGCTTATGGATCAACAGTTTGGTTATATTAATGCTAGTTTTGTATGTATTTTATTATTATTATAAATATATATATATATATATAGTGTTTTAACAGTTGAATTAACAAAAAAAAAACTTTTTTAAGGACAAAATCACTAATTCATTCAAAACATTAAGCGATGATTTGCGTACCAATAATAGCCGTAAAACTGCTAATAGTAGGGAACAACCGGTTAATGATATGGAAACGGGTGGTCGCCAGTGGCCAGTGATGGCCAGTAGTAGGAGTAGTAGTCAACAGAGCCAAGAGTCCATCAGCGGTGATAATCTCCGTCCAAATTCAGACAATAATTTTATCGATAATATTAAAAATGTTTTTACTAATAGTGCCTCAAAATCTAATCCTAATTATTGTTATAATAATAATTATTATTTGATTTTTGTCTTAATTTTGTCATTATTTAGTGTTGTTTAGTAAAAACAATGCTATTATTGTTTATAATTTAATATTATTATATGCTATATCACAGCTAATTATGGGACAATTATTTTGAAATATTTGATTTTTCAATGCATTTATAGTACTTATTGTATATATTATATATATATATATACGAAAATTGATTATTATTTATAATTAATTAATATAATATAATTACACAATTTTTATTGAAATTTACATTATATAATAACAACATTTGATAAATGATAAAAAAATTTATTTTAAATATATTTTTTATATATATGTGTGTATCAATAATTTCAATTAATAAAATGTTTACATTTATATTAATAATAATAAATAATAATAATATTGTTGCTTAAAAACATGAATCATATAATGACTTATTAAATACATAACTTAATATGAAAAAAAATATTTAATAATAACATGAATAATAATAATAATAATAAATTATAACTTTTTTGTTTCGTTTTGTTTATCTATATCTACATTAATAATAATATGATATAATAATATTATAAATAATAATAACAAACAAAAAAAAAAGATAAACTTATAATTTTAATTATATTGAAAAAAAATATTTCAGTCCAATGTTGTTGCCGTTTGCATAGCTTTAAGCCATCTAAACATATATTATAAATATATATATATATATATATTAAATAAATATCAAAAACATTGTATAAATATAACATAAAAAAACATACCGTTCCGCTTGACCGACAGTTTCGGCCCTAAATATAATAGTTGGCTGACCCGGATGTGACAACTGGACCAACTGTTTGGCATTAATACCGTCGACACTATCTCTCAACGGTTCCACTTTAAAGCCGAGCAACGGCTCGGACTTAAGTGCCGCCACATCTTCGCTAGCCTTATAGGTATACAAAACCATATCTTTGATGACATACCAGTAGTTTTTCCATTGTTTACGACTTTCCCGTCGATGCAGATAACCTGATATCAGCGAACCGACATCATTGGCCCGAACCTAACACAAGCGAGTGTCCAACAAAAAAATATATTATCGGTAATAAAAAACACAGTATTTATAACAAACAAAAAAATAAAAACCTCTTTCAAAACGGACGGCACGTATCGATGTTTAGCTTTTCGGTGACTCTTTCGTTCGGCAGTTCGCGAAAAAATTTGTTGCCACTCTTTGAGACTCCAGGCGCTGCCGTCGGCTCCGGTGGCCGTAGTATCGTCCGTATCCGATGCCGAGGCAGTTGTCGACGGCGTCCTAACCGTCGCCGATTGCGAGTCCAGCGACGCTCCGCTGGCATCGCTCCGGTGTTTCCTCTCGATCTCCAACCTTTCCATCTGTAGTCTGAGTCCATCGAAACATTCGTCGCAAACCCGTTCCGTCCGGTTTTTCAGGTAAGGCATCGGCGCTTTGTTAGTACTGCAGGCACTGCACACTACATTACCGCAGCACCGGCAATGATGGCGCCGGTAGGTCACTGTAAACTCTTCCGTACACAACTGACACATTGTTACCCGGGCATCGGGTATCCATACGGGTGCAGAAGCTCCCAATGCTAGAACCGGTATGTCAGGTGAGTCGCCAATTAAACTCTAAGCAAATAAAAAATATTTTATTATTATTATTAATTAGATTTTTTTTGAGTGTAATTACCCGCGACTTTGCAAACGATATCCGTTTATTAGTATTTTCTTTGATCGCTTTGTTCAGCTCATTCACCCAATCCTCCCGTTCCTTCGGTGATCGGGCGGCCAACGAAAACGATCGGGTGTGCGATATAATCGAAAACTCATTCTGAAAGTCCTGCTGTTTCGGTAGCGACACCCGCATACCGGTCAGACTAAGTTCATGGTTGACCCGATAGACACCGTGCTGTACGCACGTCAGATACAGTAGACTATCGTTAAACTATATAATCAAAAATAAAAATATATATTATATTATTAATTAAAACCTAACTGATTATGAGTAGACAGTCACATACCAGTATAAAATACCGTTCCTGCATACCCTTGCGGGACAGTTTCATTAGTTCGCCCTCTTTGATGAATACCCGGCCCGGTTTGATGACTTCACATTTACCAGTAATAATACTCTGCTGAATGGACAGCATTTTCTGTAGGTTTTCATTGCATTTCATACTATTGTTTGCGTGTTCGGCCACTTGTGATACAATTTTCAGTGCACAACATGTATCCGCATAATCATCGGATTCATCGGATAAATGATTTAAGTAGTCCTGCAATAGTAGCCTATACTGGGGTATACGTTGTACTGGTTTTAGCATATAATGTTTGACCGATAGCTTCTGGCATCGGGCGGTCAGTTCAAACTCTTTGACTGCTGACTGAAACGCCGGATAACGGTGTAGGGCGTCGTCATAGATGGCAGTTATTTGACCGAAATCGCCGATATATTGTGAATACTGTTTGAGAAACGGACAGATCCGTACCAATACATCTAATTATTTATATATATATAAAAAAATATTTAATAAATAAAATTAAAAATTTTTAAAAATAATAAATTATAATCAATAAAACAATAAATTAGTTTATCCAATGATTAATGTAATTATTAACCACTAATAGTATATTTAATCATTGATTATAATACTTTCACTATTATATAGTTATCAATGGTATTAAATATTATAGTTTAATTAAAAAATATTTTTTTTAAAATACAGAATCTTTAAAATATAGAAAATATTAATAATCATTTAATTATTTTTTTTATAAAAAAAACTGTAATTATATACTAAATTTTTTTAATTTAAACTATATTTTTTAAATAAATAATTACAAATAGTATATAAGGAGGTACAGATAAATTTTTCTTATATTATATACATTATATTATATATATATATGTTTTAAAGATTGTTTATTTTAATTTTTATATATATTAAACTGTAATATTTGTTACCTTATAATATAGTCATATTATAATCAATGATTAAATATATATATATATATATACTGTATATATATTTGAGTACAACTAACCAGATATACGTTGATGATCGGCCCAGTTATCTATACGGACTTTGAGCTCACTGGCCAACTGTTCGTTGATTTTCAACAACTGCGGCAAATAGTTGAGTATTTGTTGCAACACATCATCGGGTATGTGATCGGTGACTGCTCGGCGAAAATCATTGTTAAGCAATTGTAGGACATCTATGAATACCAGTTCACTGGAGTACAGCTCTTTGGCTATGAAATATAGTTTTTGATTTTGTTTACGTTTCCGATATTCTGGTGTCTGTTTGTTAGCCGACGATAGACTGTAGTCATCGCCTTCGCCATCGGATGACAAGTTGTTGTTGTTGGCCAACGATTCAACCGATTCCGATCGGTCTATGGCTATCCTACAGCCGACAGTATCGGTAGCGGTGGTGGCGGTGTTGGGCACCTGTATTGGGTGCCTGTGCTTACCGGTTGATAAATCGCTATTACTGTCGCTATTAATACTTAAACTACTGGTATTATCGCTATTATTACTACTACTATTACAGCCATTGCTATTGTTATTATTATTATTATTATTGGCACCGATAGTAGTATTGTTAGTCATTAATGTCTGTATTTAAAAATAAAATAAAATAAAGCAAATTATTATTATTAATATTATTATTGCATTTTAATTAATAGTTTTAGGTTTAAAATAATAAATATTTTAAAAAAAACTATTGAAATATAATTATATATATATTATGATTTTTTGTGAGTCTAAAACCGTATACAACTTTAATTTAACATAAAAAAATTTTTAAAATAAATAATTTTTTTTTTAAAAATTGCAAACTATAAATAGATTTTTTAAAAATTAAAATTTCAATGTAAGTGTACCGGTATATATATATATATATATATATATAGCCAGAAATTTTAATTTTAACTATAAATAATAACCATTAATTTGTAAATTTTTTTTAAAAATTAAACATCGAAAACTGTAAATAATATTGTTATTAATTATAAAATTAATATTTTTTGTTAACTTAATTTATTTTAGGCCTCAGTTTAATAGACAACATTTAAATAATATTAATTTTTTTTTAATAAATTACATTTACTTACAAATTTCATTAATATTATTACACTACAAACATGCACTTTATTATTGATAATATATATAATTTATTAATTATATATATTTTTTTCCTCAACAAAAAAATAAATAATAATCATGATTTTTTGGTTTTAAATTATCACAATATAATTAACTGAATTGAAATTAATTGAGAAATTTTTTAAAAAAATTACTAATAATATTATTTTTTTTTTCCTAATTAATTTATTCAAACAAAAAAAATTGCATTAAATTATAAAATTTATATTTTATCTAATATTTTTTTAAACTAAACAAAAAAAAATGGTTGACAATTTATTTATATTTGTAGGTGGCAAATGTATCGTAGTTATACTGTATATATAATTGAAATGTAATAATAAATTTATTGTGTGTCAAGTATTTATAGATAAATATATACATTACCCACAGTGATATAATAATGTGATTATTAATATTTTTAAGATTAGATAATAACTATATTAACAGTTAATATATATAAAGTAAATATATTTAGTAATATTTGGTATATATATATATTGAAAAACATATTATATAACAATCAATTTATTAAACTAATCTCTCATCAAAATAAAACATAATCATAAAGTTTATTATTTTTATTATTGTATTATTATTACTAATAAAAAAAATTATTTATAAATTCACTGTATGTTTAATAGTAAATGTTGTAAATAATGTTTAGAAAATTTAATTAAAAAAATAAATATATTTCTACTGAAAATATTGATATTGATATTTACATACATGTTGTTATACAGTATATATTAATTTAATTATATATAAATTTATATATAAATTACACTTTCTAGCTATGAGTAAACATTTTTTTCTTAACTAATAAACTGTAATAAAAATAATATGCGTAATATTTAATTAATTTTTTTGATGATTAAATTATTAAAATAGATCGTAATATAATGGCAATAATTTTTTTTAATCTAATAAAAAAATTTAAATTTTAAAATTACTATCATATCTTAAATAAATATGTAAATTGTCATAAAATTAAAATTATATTTATTATACCTAATAACATACCTTGATTAATTTGTTTATATAGAAAATTATTATTAAAGTTATTAATAATATAAAATTTTGCATTATTTAAAAAAATTGTATAATTAATGTTATATTTCTTTATAAATAATATTAAATAATTATTTGAAAAAATATTTTTTAAAAATAAATATATTTTAAAACAATAAAAGAAACTATCAGTGGTTATGAATAAAAATTATTGATATATTATTTTTTTTAAATACTAATGATTACAGTTTCAAATGTCAAATTACTAAATTATAAATATTAATAGATTATTAGTTTTGAAAAATTATCACATATTATTGCAATCAATTGTCATTATAGATATAATTAATTGTCTATTAAAAATACAATTAATGATAAAACAAAATTATGTGATCAATAATAATCAATGTTGCAATTAATTGAATTATTAAATAAAATATAAATAAATAAAAAAATGTATTTTAGATATATTGTTTACTTATATCAATAATTACAATATAATATATACACATAGTATTACTATAGCATATATATAAAATAAATTTCAATTTAACTATTGAATTAATTTTCATTTAAAAAACTAATTTACGTATTATTTAATTACTAATATTAATAATGATGTATTAACTATTGAATTTAAAATCAGTATCTAATTATATTTTAAAAGTAACAATAAAATCAAAATCAAAAAATATTAAAATAATATAACTGTTAATTTTAACTAAAATTTTATATATTATCCTTCAATATAATTTTTTAAAACCGTAAAATCATATTTAAAACACAAATAACTATTATATATATCATATTAATTATTTAATATTAATAGATATTATAAATACATGACAACATAGCAAATAAAATTTTAAATAATATAAATAAAATCACCAGTGATGATTTTTAAATTTTAAATTTATTTATTTAATAAACATATTAATAATATTCATTTTAAATAGACATTATCAAATAAAATCAAACTACTGTATATAATCTAATTCATAATTAATTTAATTAATAATAATCACAGTATTATTATTATTTTTCATCCAAATAATTTATAAATGATTAAATCAATCAATTTATATTTATAATTTTTAAAATTATAAATTAAATAGATTGTTTAAAATAATATTATATGATAATTATAAATAATAGTTATACATTGTATTATAATCACAATATTGTTTTTTGTAGGTAATATAAATATGATACTAATGCTACCAAAAAAAATATAAATAAATAAATAATTCAAATAACTATAACTAATTTTTATAATATGCTAATATAATAAAAAAATCAATGTGTAATAACCAAATTAAATTATTAATTAATTAATTAATTAATTATTATTTTAGGCAACATTTATAGTTAAAAATCAATTAATGCTTAAATTAATATATAAAACAACAGTATCCAGGTAATAACAATTTGTTTTTTATATAACTAATATTATATCAATGATGGGCATCGGTAGTATGCTTGATATACTTTTTTTTAAAAATATTATTTATTAAATCAAATTTTATAGATGATTTATTTTTGTTGAATAATATATATAAAAAAGGTAATGGGTAAATTGAAAAAAAAGAAAATAAATAAATATGAATTAGACATATTTAATTAATTAATAAATAAAAAGTTATTAATAATTTTAAAAAAAATATTTTTATGGTATTATATTTACTATATTTGTTAATTTTTAAAAAAAAAATATTTTTTTGAATTGTAAAATGTTTATAAAAATTAATTTTAATTAAAAATATCTATTAAACTATTAAATCATAGGAATTCGTTTTGAAAATAAAATATTTTTTTTTTTAAATTTAAAAAGAAAAATAATTATTACAGTACATCCTATACATAATCTAATAATACATAACACTATAATAATAATAATAATAATAATACATTAACTATTAATATATATATATAGATCTCATAAATACTGTATTACATAAAAAATATACATATATTTAATTGCAATAAAAAATAATAATATTTATTACAAACACATACCTCATGAAGTGATACATCGGACGACGAGATACCGGTGCTATCAGCTGACGATAAATTACTTTGACGTTTGTCGATAGCCTGGCGCAGCTCCCGGTGCAGATCAGGTGTCATACCGATACCGCCGGCGCCGACGCTACCAAACAGTATCCGTTCGTCCAGATCCTCAATAATCGGTTCATCGTCGTTGTTGTCGTCAATATTGACGGGCAATGAGTGCCGGGACGGCTGTACAGTCTTACAGCTAACACTGGTCGACATGACTCGGGTAGACTGTGATCGCATCGGTGCTGTTATATTAGTTTGCAAAATAATAAAAAATAAAAAACTAATATAAAATTTATAAATATAAACTTAAATTTTTTTATATAAGATTTTTGGAAAAAAAATTATATAACAATCTATTATTATAACATACAATAAAATAAATTTTTGTTTATCAATCTATAGTTCGTATTCTTTATCAATGATTTATAAATTTATTATTAAAAATAATAATTACTAAATAATAAGTACTGATAAATTCTGGCAAAATAAATAAATTATTAATATAATACAGTTATTACACATACACATACACACACACACACACACACACACACACACACACACACACACACACACACACACACACACACACACACACACACACACACACACACACAATTATATACTACTTGTATTTTTATATAAACCTAACGTTAAACTGTAATTCAGTCATATTTTCAAATAATATTCAATATTTAATTTATTAATCTTACATAAAAAGTTTTATATAATTTAAACATTTTACTTAAAAACAATATATTAAACAAACAAATAAAATTAAAAACCACCTTGATATTTTTAAAAATATTCTAGTAAAACTTTCTATACTAAATAAAAGATCAATTAAAAATATTATAATATAATAGTAATTAGATTTAATTATATTAAAAAAATTAAAAATAATATTAACTTCTAAATTAAGACACAGAAAACATACCTGACTTTTGTACACCACTGGCACCGGTAGCCGTCATCCCTATCATCTCATCATTAGTAGCCGATTTGAGTGCCTGAGACGGCACTGGTAGCTCATCATCGACTACTGCTGGCATTAGTCTAAAATCAGTAGTATCGTCGGCGTCGGCAACGGGAGTCGCCTCCCTGTCCTCAGAATTAGTACGATATTCGGACGCAAACGACTGATAGTTGGACGCAATAGAACTGATGTCATCGTTAATGGTTTCCTGATCCCAGTCCCGATAGAACCGGGAGCCACCTTCAACTTGCCGTTGTTGGCCATCGGGTCCGAGTTCAGCGTCAAACCACTGGGTGCTGGCAGTGGTTGTGGTCAACGACGACAATGTTGACTGCGAGTCAGCCAAACCATCGCTTCGGTATCTCTCCAGATCATTGTTGACGCAGCCATAGGGAAACAACTCCTCTACGTCCTCATCGTCACCACCACTACCACCTCCTCCTCCTCGGACACCACCACCAATAGGACGATTTGTTGGCGTTGTAGGCGTCAGCGGATTAGTTGGTGTCTTATTGTTGAGATCCATGTCCTCTGTGTCGTCGCTGTCGTCGATATTATTACCGTTCATATCCTCGTAGAGCGAGTTATTACGGGCGTCCAGTTGTGTCTGACGGTCGCACAGTTGCGGTGTCCGGTTGGCCATTGGGAGACTAGTAGGAGGAATATGATTCAGATCGTCGCCTGTGCTGATGCTTACGTCACGCGTACGGACCATCGGTTTTGGTGGTCGCGGCGGTGGCGGTAACGGTCGCTTTGACCAATCATTATTATTAGCTGCTGTCCGATGATCGGGAACGTTAGGTACTGAACCACCACTACCTTTAGATACAGAAGCATACAAATGAAAATTATTGGCAATAGAGGAATAGGGTGTACTTCTAGCACTGGTAGCTAATGTAGAATTGGAAGTGAAATTACTAGTAGTAGTAGTATTCATAATAGAAGAGGAAGCTGTTCTAGAGGACAGTATAGAGGAATAGGAGGGTAGGGGTGGTCTTTCGGGTCGTTTGTTGTGAGTTCGGATAATCCGTGGCTGATTAGCATCGATGGTATTATCGACGGTATCGGTAGTTGACTGTAATGTTCCGGTTATTAGTCGTTTGGAGCCAACAGTAGCGACAGTTGATAGACTGTCCTGACTTTGGCGGACGTCCAGTTCGGTTAGCGAACGGCATCGGCGAAACTTCCAGCTAAACGGCTGCCAATCGAGCGGATCCATGGTTTGGCTGCGCTCGGCTGCCCTGCGATGGCGACGTGGCGGCGGTTTTGGGCCCCAGTTTCGTGTAGGACTTATAGTAATGGGAGCACTGGCAGGCATTGGCGGCGGCAGCCGATTGATTGGCACAGTTTGTTCAGCCATTATCGGTGGTCCAACATTACCACCACTACCGGTGTCATACATACGATCCATAGCCGCGTTGCGGGCGTTCATAATCTGTACCCGAGTCGGCAGGCGTACAGTTATTCGCTGACCCGGTTTTGGTTTGGCCGGTACGGGTATCGGTGGTTTCGGATGATCGTAAATGGCCAACAGTTGGTGAATGTTGGGCGGTGTTCGTCGCCAACTGGCTTTCTGTCCGCCACCGACCCGACTGTTATGCATGAATCGACGTTTTGGTTTATAGTTCAGCCGTACGTTACTGTAGTAGATATGCGCCGGCACTCGTTGCCGACAACGCCTGACTACCGAACTGCTGTCCATCGATGTCCACTCCGATTCGGACAACGTTATGGACACTTTGGGTGCCGGTGGTCGCGGTGGCGGCGGCCGTGGAGGTGGTTGACGTTTGCCCCGGATCATCGGTTGGGTGTGCAATGTAGGAACCGATGCCACTTTGCCGACACCTGTACGCAAGCCGGCCGAAAAACGTCGCGGCGGACGCAGCGGACCCGACACGGGGCTCATGTAGGCATCGAGCCGTTCCTGTGTAGCGGCAATTTCTTCGTACACATGAAGACGATGAGCGCCACCCGATCGGCGCAATGAGTCGCACAGTTCGGAATCGCTGACAACAACATCGAAATCTGAATCATAACCGGCGGCCGCACCGCGATATCGACGGTCCATATGCGGCGGTAGTGGCGGTGGATAGCGGGTAGACATAAAACGCTCGTATTCTAAGTCGTGGACAGTCGGGCCAGACATACGTCGACTAGAGGACATAAGTTCACGTAGTTTGGGTCCAATGGACGTAATTTTCGGCAACGATTCCATAGCTTTGGCCTTAAACCGGTCCAATTTGACCCGTGTTTTGGACTTTTTCCGCGGTTTTTTGTGACCAGAGCCGACTCGCGATACACGTTCGAGAAACTGTTGTTCCTCTGTCCTGTCGTCGTCCTCTTCGGTCTCGTATTGACCGATCATTGTTGTCTTATTCAACGGCACAACAGTAGTGGCCGTATCGCTGACTGTAGAGTAGGTCTGACTGACATTATAATTGTCATCGTCAGCACCGGTATGTTCAGAGCCGCCGCCGCCGCCACCAAAAGTATGTACAACACCAACGTTTTCGTATTCCTGTCTAAACTCGGATACATTGTCGTCAGCTGTCGGCGGCTTATCATCATTGGTGGTGATGGTAGTAGTAGTAGTGGTGGTGGCCAGTTGTTGTTGTTGGTCATCGCATACAACAATTTGCGGAACATTAGTCAAATCGGTGGTAGTGTCCATTGATTTTAGCTCAGTTGTAACAGTTTTGTTACGTTTGTTTCCTCCGCCTCCCAGCGGGAATATACCGCTAACTTTTTCCCGTAACACACGAAACGAGTCGTGCGGCCCGAAACCGACCACTCGTCGGGCCTTCTTTTTCATACGATTTTTGATAGACTTGCGCTCATTGTTGTCGCGGTTGCGACCGTGATGGTCACCCGTTTCAGCTTCTGTATCGCTGCCCGAAGCGTCACGTGACGGTACATAAGTGACACCAATTTCTCGGATATTTTCTATAAGCTCGTACTTGACCACCACATCCTCCAAGACCTCCCTGTTCTCGTTATTGATGGTGGTTTGTTGGCCACTTACTGCCGGTTGTTTATCCTCATTGTCATCAATAGCTATCTCTTCGTAGTGTCGTTCGCCGCGACGCCGCTGCTCGTCATTGGTCGGTATCGGAGACGGTTCGTACTCATCATCGGCATCAATGGCCAACTGGTCGTCGGCGGTAAGTGTTTTGTTGATCGCCGCCGATGTCGACGACTGACCACCAGCTTTGACTGCAGCGGCCTTTGCCTTCATTTTCTCAAATTGTTTCTGTTTTTTCATAATCTTCTGCTTCTGACGATCGGAGCTACGGAACCGGTCGAACAGTGAACGCTTTTCCCGACGATCCTCGGCCCGGGCCTCCCGTTCCGCTCGTTTGCGTAATTTTTCCTCTTCCCTGAGCTTCTTCTCCAGTAGTTTTCGTTCGCGTTTCAGCTCTTTCTGTGCGGACGACTCGGTCGATGACTTTTGCGATGCCTGTCCTTCCAGTAGTTTCATCTCCTGGTGCTGAAGTGTCAACAGATCATGACCGCCGCTACCGCTACGTTCAAGTGACCTACGTTTGACCTCTTCCATGGCCGACTCGATAATCAATTTTGACGCCCGTTTGGCCAACAAATCCATGTCCGAACTATTGTTGTTGTTGTTGTTGTCGGTATCGGTGTCTGCAAACTTGACAGTCAATGTTTCGCTATTTGGTTTATCAATGCCAGTGTCCAATACTGATGTGGACGGTATTGACTCAGTAGCTACCGGTGCTGGACTACTGACCAACACAATGGGTCGCTGTTTAGATGTTTTCGGTCCGGCTGACGACTCGGCCACTACTCCATTATTATCAATAATAGGAACACCTATTTCGATGACAATCGCCTGATCGTTGTTGACTGTAGGCGCTGGAGTTGGTGGTGGTGGCGGCGAATCGACTATTAGTTTATTGGATTTTTTAACAATAGGATTGTCGTCCACATTGTCTTTGTTATTAACCGGTGAAGTGGTCTTTGTCGTCTCAGACAACTGTTTAGTCGGCTCCTCATTACCAACTTTAGCTTTGGCAGCAGCAGCACCTGTAGCTGTATTTATCGGTTGCTGAGCAGCACCTGTCGATGATGATGATGACGGCTGTCCCGGCAAACCGTATCGCGACTGTAGGTCATCGAAATTAATTGGATCGGGATTTTCAATCAAAACCGGCATATGTTTCGGTAAACTATCGGTACCACCACCGCCACCACCACTGTCTAACATTTGTAAGGCTAGATCTGGCGGTACCCATGAGTCGCGATTGAATTCAATGTCCCGATAGTCGTACGAACATTCAGTTTGGCCGTCGTCCAGATAGTTGAAACCGTCGGGTCCTATACTGGAAAAGTCGTCACCAAAACTGTGACCAAACTGCGGCTGACGACTCTGTTTGGATCTACAGGTGCGGCGGAGGCGGCGGTAAAGAAAATAATTAGTTTTATTGCCTAATATTTTTAATGGCATTATAATGACAATTACTTGTTCGGGAGGGCCCTCTTTGCCGATTCTAGTGCCTTATTGTAGAGATTGACGGCCAAATTGGTGCAGCAAACTGTCCGCTCCTCTAGCGAATCGTTATTACGCGAGCACTGGCCTAATGTAGGAAAACGGGTGCCACGACCAACAGCACCACCACCACCAGGTTGGCTACCGGTTCCCGTTTCACACGCGTTATAAACATTGCTGTTTAGAAATCAAATATAAATGTAATAATAAACAAACAAAAAATTATTATTAGTTAAGTATTAAGTGAAGTGTAATCTAATAATTAGTTTGTTAATAGTCTAACTAATATATTAATATCTTAAATTTATTTTTAAAACAGTTTGCTAAATGTAAAAATAATTAATTAATAATTTTTTTTAGAAAAAAATCTACTGTATTAAATAATGCTGTAAGTATAATTACTTTAAAAAATAATATGTTAATTAATATAATTAATTTTATATGCAAATATACAAATAATTAAACTATTTATTAATTAAACTAAATAAATTTATTAACAACTTAATTTACTTGAGAAAAAATTAAAAACTACTTATATTCAAACAATTATATTTGAATTAAATATTATATATATATATATTAAAAAATAAAACTGTAAATTTTGATCTAAAAATTAATAATTAATAAACAAAAATGATAATTAATTAAATTTTAGGTTGTAGAGGACATAATCTTTTTTAAATATTTAATTAAGTATATACAGTATGATAATAAATTTAATTAAAATAGTTTAATTATTTGTATATTTGCATATAAACTTACTAATATACAAAAAAAAAAATTATTTCTTAAAGTAATTATAATTCAAATTTTTATGTTTAAAAAAAAATCATTAGTAAAAAATACATACTTATTATCTGTCTGTCCATCAACAGCAGCACCACTGGTAGTATCACTACCACTACTTCCCATTTTTAATGGACGGCATTTCGATGTGTTATCCAATTTAGGGTTTGCCGTCGTATCGTTCATCACTTTTTTCGGCTGATTTTTTAGCCGACATTTTTCATCAGTATTACTACTACTGCTAATAGTAGGAGAAACGGCATCTTTAATGCCGTTCCCATTGATGTCTACAGCTGTGGTGGTACTTATGGTGATGTTGTTGTTGTTATCATTATTATTAATATTTGTATTAATATTATTATTATTATTATTACTAGTATTAGCTATACAAGTGTTGTCTGATTTGTTGGCAGACATTCAGCGCTGAAAATACTTATTATATATTTTTTTATATAATTTTTATTTTCAAACAACACTTTTCAAACTATTCAACAAATTTAAAGTTATTTTTGGGGACAGTTGTGTGTATAGTAGATGAACTCACAAGTTATATAAATATATATATATATAGAGTAATAGTTATCAGATATTAAAACATATTGTAGAGAAACGGTAGTTTAAAAAAATGAGAGCACAATAGTATAATAATAATAAAAAACAATAGAAATAATTATTGATGTAAAAAATTATTAAAGAAAAAAATATATTTAAATTTAGACAGCAATGAAAGTAATAGAGAGAGAAAAAACAATAGATATATAGAGTTTAAATGATTATATTGAGCACCGGGATGATAGACACCGGTAGTTTTTTTATATTAATCAGCACATAATGTGCATCATATAGTATATAATACTCATACAGTTTTAACTTTTTTAAAAAAAAAGTTCAGATGATATACCTGTGCTCTGTATGGGAGCCGCCGATGATGTATTGTTGTCGTTGTTGTTGTTGATCAATGATTTTTGTGACAGACCCGGAGGTTTGTAGGGAACGGGAGGTTTGTTTGTGCTATTGTTGACTATTAATGTTGAAGGTTTAGTAGGAATTTTAGGACTGAGCGGCGATTTTGTTGTCGACACCACCGTTGATGTCGTAGACGACGACTTATCGCTTTTGTTGAGACCTTAATAATTGAAAAAAATTTTAATTAAGTATATTTTTGTAATTAATTAATTTTAAAAAATAATTTAATGTAAAAACTATATTTTTATATATAAAATAATAACTGTATAAATTAAATAAAGTTATAGATTTGTTACTAAAATTTTTAAATTATAAAATCGTATCGAAAATTAATATATTATTAAAATTTTAATAATATATATTTGCATTTATAAATATATATTACAGTTTTTTTTCAAAAAAAATATATATCATATAAAAAATATTTATTATTATTAAAATAAACTAATATATTGTATATATTTTTTTAAAAACCAAAAACTTAATAATAATAAACAATCAGTTTTTAACAAACAATTATTGACGCAAATTAAATCATTTTAATAATTTACAAAAAAAAAGAAAAACAAAATTTACTATAATTTAATTAAAACATTTCCTAATAATAGAAACTAAAATTATATGTATAAATAAATTGCTTATTTTTTAAAAGCACTCATTTGTAATATAATTATTATAAAACATAAAATTGTAAATTATTTCTAATTATATTACTAATTATATTTCTAATTATTTAATAATAATAATAATATAAATTAATTTATAACATATAAACAATACTATACTTGTTAATTGTTGAAAAATAAACTTGAATTTTATTTTTTAAATATTATAATTTATGAATAAACAAAAATTATATTTAGTATAACTATCACTAAATTTATTATTAATTAAACAAATTTATTTAAAAAACATTAAGTTTTTATAAATAAAAAATAAATCACACTTAAAGAAGATGTCTTCCTTATCTATTTTTTTCTCTCTCTCTCTATCGACACATATATACTACTCATTCACAACATCCCTGTGCTCTCAAATGCCATTATTATTATTAGTGTACTGTTATGTAAAAAAATTTTAAAATAAAAAATTTTTAAAAATAACCCATGTCTATGTATATTTAAAATGAAACATTATGTTTGTGTGTCTTATATATATATATTTTGTTAGATAATGTGTTTTTTTTATTATATAGCAGTTAAACGTATAGTTGCGTATAATTAATATATACTGTACTGTAAATGTTTTTATGCATTTTCAAAAAAAAAAGTTTTTCATACTATAGTCAAAAATAATTAAAAATAAATTGCTGCACGTATGCTATCTATTAAATAAATAACAAATTAACTAGATAATTTTTATGATTAAATAATATAATTAAAAAAATTATGTTTAATTTTAAAAACAAAATGTAATTTTAAATCAACTATAGTATAATTAAATTAGATTTTAAAATTAAATATTATTTTATAGCAAGATAAATACTTAAGAAATATAATATTTAAATTTAAAATAATTTTTTTATTAAATATTAATTACAATTAAGATAGAAAATTATGTAAAAAATTAAATAATCAAACATTTAGTTTATGAAATAATATTTGCATTATTACTAAAAAAATATTAATAATGTAATAAAGTTAAAAAATATATATATATAACTTAATACTGTACTTCCCTTTTAAAAATAGATAGTTGTGTAATTAAGTGATTATTACAATATTAAAATTTAAATGAAACTAAACACGGAACTTTTTTGTTAAAAATTATTATTTAAATTCATTAATAAAACAAATTAATAATCACAATATTTTTTACATTTATGTAATCATTAAATATAATTGTACTATCATTTAATAACTAATAACAGTACAAATATACTAACTTTTAACTACTAAACCAAAAATCGTTTAGTCTAATGATAATAATATTGAGTTTACTATCTATAAGTTCACAAAAATAAAACAAATAAATTTTAATATATCCATTACAATAGCTAATTGTATATTTATAGTTTGAAAAATACAGTGATAAATGATTAAAAATTTTCAAATATATACTGTAATATATATAATAGACATTAACCAAAATCTGTTACCAATTGACTTACAAATAAAAGATAAGATAAATAAATAAATTCCTAAAGAATTTTCTGAAAACATATTTATAATGTATAGTAATATAAACAATATAAAGAATATTCTGTAAAAACATTTAGAAATAAAAATTACTTAAAAATAATTTAAATCTATTTTTAAATCTAAATAATTATAGAATTTATAATTAATTGCTAATTTTTGTATATTTATTTTTAATAGAAAATTTAATTGATGTTTATTATTATTATTATCTATTAAATTATCAATATGAATTTAGTAAATCATTTAAAAAAAATAATTAATTAAATTAAATAGTAAAAAAACATAGCATAAAATATGAAATTAATCTACTTTTTGAAAAAACTAATTATTTCATATTTCAATAAATAATATGGTTTTAATAAAATTTAAAATTTAAGTTACAGTTATATAATCGGATTTTATTTAAATTAAATTTATGATTTTTTTCTAAAAATATTTTATAAATAAATAAATTTTTTATCATTATTTTTTTGTTGTTATGTCAATATACATACCATTAGTTGTTCGCATTGTGCTTATGGATGATAATAATGTTTTATCCAATGATTTATCATTTATACCATCACTAGTGTCTTGATATGCATTGTTGTTAGTGTTGTTGTTGTTGTTAATGACTGGTGTTATTGTTGTACTTTTTAAACTATTTATAATAGTATTACAATTATTATTAGTACTATAACTTCTATTAAACTTTAAAATATCACATTTACTACTATTACTACTACTACTACTAACAAAACAACTATTACTACTACTACTACTACTACTAATAAAATTATTATTACTAATACTTTTACTTCTATTAATTAATTTATTTTTAGTTATTAATGAATGATTATTAGAGTAATTATTATTATTATTAATATTATTTGAATTATTATTAAATTTTTTATAATTATATAGAAAACTTTTATTATTATTATTATTATTATTAATCAATATTTTCTCCAATTTGTTTTTATACAAATTTTTGTCATCAATTAATTCACTCATTTTTTCAAACTTTAAAATTTAAAAAATAAATATAAAAAATAGGATATTTTCCCAATCACTATTATTTAAATTATTACTTTATAATTTTTTTTGACTATAAATATAAAATGATATCTTATTACAGTTTATTATTGTACTTAATTTATTATTATTATTATTATTGACAATTTATTTTTATTTTATTTTTTAGTTTTAAATTGTCACAGGTTGTCGACATATGATTAAATAAAATGTTTTATTTAATAAATTTATACCAACAACAAAAAATATTAAACACATTTTTCATATGTTAAAAACAATTTGTATCAATAAATCATTAATTTCTAGATATAGTAGATGTATGTATTGATATAAATAAATAAATATATATATAAAAAAATGTTGTCATTTAAAAAATATTTTTGTTGAAATAATAATATTTATTATAAAATTTATTTATGCATAAAATATTTTTTTTGAATATAACTATTCACTATAAAAAATTGTTGCAAAATGACACTTATTTTATATATTAATATTATTTATATTTATATATGAATAACAAAAATATTTTTATATAAAAAACAACAATTTTTATTTCAATTTTAACTGTTGAAAAAAATAGTTGTGTATAAAATTCACATGAAATTAGATAAATATATGTATATAAATTTAATACTGTATATATTATTTTATATTATTTGGGAAATCATGTATTTTATAACATTTTTTCACATTATTATATTATATTATTACCACTACTACTACATATTAAATGAAATTTTTTTTGTAGAAAACAATTTTATACATATATTTAGTTATTTTAATTGTCATTATTTATTATTATTATAATAATAACAATTAGTATTATTACAATAATTTATAAATATTATTATTATTATGTTTTACAAATAATAATAATAATAATAATAATAATAGCACCAGTTATTATTAAATTAAACAATTACATTATTATGGACATTATTTTTTATTATAATATATAAAACTATTATATTTAAAAATATTATGTTAATATATGTGACATTTACAACACAAATATAAATAAAATATATATAAAACAATGATTTCAAACACGTATATAAAGTAGTAATAGATGTTAATTACAATATTAATAATATGAAATAAAACAAAATTTTAAAAAAAATTTCATATACAGTACAGTATAATCTAATAGTTTTCAAAAAACAATAGATAAAGTCAATGAACAAAAAACCACTTAATAATGAATAAATATGAAAAAATATGCGATTATTTCACTGTATAGGGAACTCTATGGGAAATATCATTAGTTGAAAACTATATTTTATTTTTGTGATAATTAATACAGTATTTATTTCATAATAATAATCAACAACAAAAAAAAACATATAAAACTAATTTACCGTATAATACAAAACGTTTAGTGTTTAACAAAGTTTAAGTCTATATAACAAATAAATAAAATGATAATAAATTATTATTTTTATTATCAGTTAAAAGCTAGTAGTAGTAGTAGTAGTGATTCATTCAATTATTTAAATAAAATTGAAATTTTTATTATTATTTTTTTTCAAAAATACAATAATAATAATATATTTGATATATGATTGACGTAAAAAAAATTATGGTCGCATTTTATCAAATGGCAACACATTATGTGACACTATTTTATTGTTATATAATAATTATTACATTATTATTATTATTATTATTTAATATTATATATATATTACCCATTATAGCTAAATATTATTATATACGTAAGTGTCGATTATATATACTGTATATATATATATATATATATATATTTTTTTTTAAAAATAAAGTATATGTATGTATGTATCATATCATACCAGCAAACAGGTAGTAGTAATAGTAGTATTTAATAGTCAAGTAGTCAGTCATATATATATATACCAGTATATAGTAGTTATTGCATGTGATTCATGCAAACATTTATTTTAAATAGTATATACTGTATATATTTATATGTAATCACATAAACTGTAATTTTTATCAACAAAAACAAATATTACTTAACATAATATTTTATTAATTGTTGAGACAATTATAGTAAACTATTTATATTTTAAATAATTTTTTATAAAATAATATTCTAATGCTATTAAAACAAATTTTTTTTGTTTAAAACTTAAATTTTAACTATGGTAATTTTATTTTTTTTTTGTATATGTACATTGTACATATGATTAACTGTACGATTATGATGAAAATGATGCATCATACAATAACAAAGTTAATTTATTTTATTATATATATATTAGTATATATATATATATATATATATATATATATTAGTATATATAGTTACCTTGATAATTGGGTGTACCAATGTATGATGTACCATTATTATTATTAAATAAATAAATAAACACTACAATAAATTAATGTATTTGACATTGTGGTGTTATATTAAGTGGGGGATACTTTTTTTAAAAAAAAAACTAAAAAATATCACATATTTTAATAGAAAAAATTAATAATAACATTGAACATTATGAAAATGTGTAAAAAAAATTTTTCCAATATAATAAATTAAAACTTAAAATTATAAAACATTAGATATTTATTAAAAATCACATGATAAACTTGATGTGTATAATAGTATATATACTATATTACAGTATATATTAATTATTTTCAATAAAAAAAAGTGTAAAATTACTTTTTAGACTTAATTTTTTTTTTTAAATTTTAAAAATGCACTTTTATTATACGTATACTTTAAAAAAACAAACAAAATTTTTAAATAAATACAATGATTTTAGATTTATGGTTAATATATGGTGTGTGTGTGTGTGTGTGTGTGTGTGATATGTTTATTTGATAATTATAAAAAATTTGTATAAAAATATTTTTATTAAAATAAAACAATGTATAATATTGTTAAAAAACTTTTTTGTTGTTATTATATATATATGTGTTTTGGCATCCCTTAACCACAATGTTTACTATTATATATTTTTGGGTGATATGGTTGCTATATATTACTTACGATAACAACCAATAATGTGTTTTTGAAAAATATATACAATAAAGTAATATAACTTTACCATACAGTATATGCTAGTATATAATAAATATTTTCAAACAAAAATTATTGCAATAATTTTTTAAAAATTGTAACTATTTTTTTAAATAGTCCATTTAACTAATAATAAAATCATTGACATTTTTTTTTATTTAACTTAATTAGTTTAACTAAATAGCATAGACTGTTTGTATTTAATAGCATACTGTAAATTATTATTTAAAAAATTATCTAGATGCATTGCGCCATCTAGTACTAATGTATGTTTAAAAATAAATTTTTAATAAAATTTTTAATAGATATTAAAAAGTTATTTATTATTACTATATTAGTTATTTATAATGTATATATGACAGTAAATTTTATTAATACTATATTAATTTGTTAAAATTTTCAAAAATAATAATTTATTAAATATTTTTATCTAATAAATAAAATCTACTATTGATTTAAATATATGAAAAAAAACTTGTATATACTGTACTGTAATACATAGTTCATCAGCACATCAGATCATATCATATATCAAAGTTTGTTTTTATTTAATATATGTATAAAAACTTTTTTGTATATATTAAATACACACAAAATTTTTATTTTGAAGTTTGAATAAAATCAATTCATAGCACATTTTTTTATACAAAAGTATCAACTAAAAATATTGTATAAAAATATTTTTTAAAAATATATATTAATATATATATATATATAAAGTAAAAGGGCCTTACATTAATCTCGCACACGCGGTTTTTCCTATAATTCTTAAACGGAGTGAGATATATTAATTTTGTAAAAAGAGTATTAAAAAGTGATTTACGCATGATATTATAAAATATTAAATTTTTAATTTTGATCACGTGATCATATTTATTCTTGGATCTTTGCAAACCACTATATCAAAACCTAAACTATAAATGCTAGAATAAAATTTCAATAGTAAGTTTGTAATGCCTAAACTGGAAATTTATAGGAAGAAAAAATTTTTAAAATTGGTTGCAGAATAAATTTTTTATGGCTTTTCAAACTTGTGGAAAAACACATTATATAAAATAGTCGAAAATAAAATGACGTTATTTATGGACAGTAGACACTTATTAGATAGAGATATTAATACTATTGCTTATTCTGAAAACAAAATTTTTTTATGTCAAATATTTTTTTAGATAATCAAATTTAATTAAAAATTGCATTATCGAAATATAATGTTGTGTTTTTTATTGTAATTTAATTATCTAAAAAAATATTTAACATAAAAAAATTTTGTTTTCAGAATAAGCAATAGTATTAATATCTCTATCTAATAAGTGTCTACTGTCCATAAATAACGTCATTTTATTTTCGACTATTTTATATAATGTGTTTTTCCACAAGTTTGAAAAGCCATAAAAAATTTATTCTGCAACCAATTTTAAAAATTTTTTCTTCCTATAAATTTCCAGTTTAGGCATTACAAACTTACTATTGAAATTTTATTCTAGCATTTATAGTTTAGGTTATGACATAGTGGTTTGCAAAGATCCAAGAATAAATATGATCACGTGATCAAAATTAAAAATTTAATATTTTATAATATCACGCGTAAATCACTTTTTAATACTCTTTTTACAAAATTAATATATCTCACTCCGTTTAAGAATTATAGCAAAAACCGCGTGTGCGAGATTAATGTAAGGCCCTTTTACTTTAATTTTTTAAATAAGATAATTGTAAAAAATATATAGTTTAAATATAATGAACTTTTATACTATTAATATTTTTAAAAATTTTATTAATAGTTAGTGTGTTTAATAGTGTTTAAGTTAGTAATACTCATATTAATGACAATAATTTTTTTTTAAATTTGTTATTGTGAACTTCAATATACAATATATAAAAAGTAAATTGTAATTATTAATTCAATTATAATAATTAAAGTTTATAAATTAATGTTTTAATTTAAACTTTATTGTTAATTTTAATTTTTGAAATATTAAATTAAATTTAGTTTAAATGTGCTTATCTCTGATCTACTATTAATAAACTTATTAAATTAATATAAATCTTGATTAATATTTATTGATTTGACTAATTTTTCAAATTATATGATTAGTTAATTTATATATAATTTATAAATATTATATGAAATTTTATTCAATTATTAATTCAACAACAAAAAATAATATCAACCAATATTGATTTTGTAAGTATTTTATAAATAAAATTTATATTATTTTTTTAAATATTTACATTAATTATAATAATAATGTATTGTTATTTATAATGTATATAAAGTTATATAAAGGATGATATTAATTTTATCTTTAAAAAAATTAAGTTTTAAATAAGTTATAAATGATTTATATATATAATTTTTTTAAAAATATTTATTTGAATATAATTCAAAAAAAAATGTCAAAAAGTCTAAACAATTTTTCGCAGACAGCCTTGAATTATTGATTTTATTTGTTGATTATTTCGATTACAAAAAAATGATAGACAACTAAATATAAATTACGAAAAAAATAATAATATATTAATATATAATTAAATTAAAACTGTAAACATGATTACATAATAAGCTATTTTTTTGATAGTTTTGTTGGATATTAGATAATTGAAACTTAACTAGTTTTAAACATTATCATAATAAGATTTATAGATATATGAAATAAAAATTAATAATATATATATATATATATTGTAATTATATGTAAAATGTAATGATTTTAAGTAAACTTACTAAAATATTTTTAGTATATACATAACTAATGTTTGAAAGCTAAAATAATTAAGTATATTAATAGTAATAGTTTAAATTTTAAAAAAAAATTATTAAACTTAGATATTATTATTATATAAATAATGATATATTATTGATTTCATAGTAAAATTTTTTTTTATAATTAAAAATTTTAATAAACTATTTTTTAAAAGTTCACTAAAACACTAAACAACAAATGGATGATAACATCAACTATAAGTCAATTGTACGGCACATGTGGCTAATGTTACACTTTGTACCCTTTGTCGGACCAGCCCGTTATGCTACCGAAGCCATGGCTGCCTATATGTCGGGCAATCAGCAAAAAGCACGCGACAAAGGTATTACTTGTACGGTAAACGGTTTACTCGATCTACTCGTCCTATCGTTGTTTCTGTTGTCGGCCGCACACCTATCGGTCGAATCGGACAAATCGGATGTTTTGCGATCGTTGAGACCGCTGTTGACCGCATCGGTAGTCGTGACCACTGTATCCATACTAATCGGTTCAAAGATATTGGCCGAACAAATATCCAGTGCTATCGTCGAAAAGGTTAGTATTTGTAATAATAATAATAATTTTATTATTTTATATTTTAAGAATTAAATTTCAACACAATTTTTAATTAATTTTTGTTTGAAATTTAATTCTACAATTTTAATTTTAACATTAGCATAAATATATTTTTTTTAAATACCAGAAAAATCTAGTTATGTAAATATTTTTTTTTTAAATTTTATTAAATACTATACATAATAAATAGTATTACTTTTATTTTATTTTTTATAAAAAAATTGTAAATTTAAACGGAAAATATTTTAATATTAAAAATATATTTTTAATTATTCTAGTTTTTAGACTAAATATCAGTACATAACAATTTATATAATACTAATTTATATTTTTTTAAAAACTTGTAAAGCAATTATTTTTTTGATTATTATTTTATTATATATATATATCTTAAACTTAAGGTACTATCGGTACATACGGCCAGTACTTCGGTGGTCAACACAATGACCATAACGGCTACCGGTATCGAAGCAATGGTCGAGACCATAAACTTGGCCACCAATCGGACGACAACTACTGTACGCAACGGTTATCAGTCGGCAACCAATACGGTTACGGCTGTAATAAATACTCCGAAAACTACCCGCGATTTTGTTGTCCGCTGTGGTCAGCGATGCGATCAAACTGTCCGCCAATATCTTCAATACACAATGAATTTGATTATCATAACTCTCAAACATTTAGTAATATTTACGATAACTGTAGCACTGGTAGTCATCGACATAATGATCAAACTATTGGTACGCTTATGGAGACAAGTAATGCCCGATTTAAGTCAATATAAATTGATTATAATATTCAACACTGTTATCAATAGTTTACTAAAAAAAATTCAAAAACAATTTACAAATTATTGGATAAAATTTAAAAAGTTTTAACATAATTACATAAAATATGTTTTGTTTTTGTGATTATGTATATGTGTTTTGTTTTTGTTGTTTTTAATTATTATACATTTATTATTATTATTATTTTTTGACAAATACTATACAAATTTTATTTATATAAATATATAATTTTTAATTAGTAATTAAACAAAAATTGTTTTAAACAAAATTTATTATAAAAATAATAATTTAACAATAATCTAATATACTGTATTTATTTTTATCAAATTATAAAAAACTAATTATTTAAAATTATAGTTAAATTAAATATAAATATAATATATTAAAAATATATTTAAAAATTTTGTAATTTTATTTTTTTAGAATAAAATAAATTATTTAAAAAAATACTTATTATCAAATAAATTATTTTAGTAGAAATTAATAATTTAATATTTAATTTTACAAATATAGATTATCATACTGTAAATAAGATTTAATACAATATAATTATTTAGTATGAATTGTTTAAAATTTTTTAAATAGTTTTTAGGAAAATGTCTCAAAATAAATAAATATTATTTTTGCAATTAATTAAATTATTAATAGATTAAATGAAAATTAATTAACTTTTCAACTTCAATAAATTATTGTTTTTTGCTATATTATTGTTGAATTTTTATCTAATAAAGTAAAATTTATTTATTAAGTTGATTCATTATTTTTATTTTAGACTTAATAGATTATTTAGTTTTTAAATTTTATGTTTATTTATTGCATTCAATTTTTTTTTAACTCTATAAGTATTTTAATTTATAATAAAATTCATATTAGTTTAAGTAAAATAACTTTTATATATAATCTATGAATAATATAATTTCTTAATTTTTATAAAATAATTTTTAATATCACAATTAATTTATTACAGTTTATTAAAAATAGAAAAATAGAAAAAAAATTAAAATAAACATTTACTAAAATTTATTGTATATTAAAATCAACCTATTCTCTAAATATTAATTAAACTTTGAACTTCAACTATCATTTAGTAGGAACGGGATCTCTAAATATTTATTAGACAAAATCATTGGACATTAATCTGGGCTTTAATAAGCACCGGATGCCTAACCAGTGCTGAACATACGGTATAAATAAGTCCACAAAAAATAATAATCAAAATAACTTAATAAAATTATTCAAATAAATTATTAATTAGTTTATAAATGGTGAAAAACTTGCTTATTAATTATTAAATATTATTAGTCAAACATTTCTATTAATATATTAGTTATAACTTTATTTATTTATTTATTAATATTTTATATAGATTTGTAAATTTAAAAATAATTTCTATACTTGAAGATATATAATTTTAATAGCAATGTAAATTATGGTAAAATATGCGCATGTTATATTTCTACTGTATTACAGTTTATCAAATAATATATTATTATATTTATGTAATAATTTTTTTTTTATTAATTTGTATATTATATGATCAATATCACGTTTGCATAAAGAAAAACTTCAATATTTTGTGTAATTTTGTTAGATTTGTAAATAAAATAATAAATTCAATTATTTTGTTTAAAATATAAGTATTAAAATACAGTATAATATAATGATAATACAGTATAAAATTATATTAATTACTAAAAGTATGTTAGCAATAATATTAAGTATATACAGTATTATTAACAATAAACTATTATAAGTTATAATTTATAACTGTTTAAAAAATTAAGCTATAAAACAGATTATTAGACGTTTAAAATATTAAACGTTTATGAATTAATTTTTACTCAAATAATTAATTAAATCATTTTATTAACAGTGATATTTATTAACAATTAATTTTCTATATAATTATATACATATTTTACTTAAATAGTAGTATTTAATTATAATTTAATAAAAATTATTATAACTATTTAAATGCTATTATATTGTTAAGGTTTAAATATCGGCATCAGTGGGAGGAACGGGATCTTTATTGATAAACTTTTCTTTGAAAACAAACTCTTTGGTCAACTGTCTCGGCATAATAATTTCCGGTGCCTTACGGTGTTGGGCATCGGGTGCTCGACCGACAGCAATAATCTGCAAAACTGTATGCGATTTTTTGGTAATACCCAAAACACCGTACGATTTTTCAATATCCAAACCGGCAATAGGATGGGCTACCAGTCCTCGACCGCACGCTTCGTAGTGTAGCGATACGTAGGCACTGCCCGAATCAAATTGACTGAATTTGTTTTCATATATTTTATCATGATAGAGCTCATAGTTGGGCGTTATCTGAAATATCAGTACCGATGCATTCACTGCCCAAACTTTGTTGCCCTCTTCCAACAGGTCGAACCAGGTTTGCCACTCTTTCGATCCCTTACGGGCCCATATGAATCGCCAGGGCTGTATGTTTTTCGATGACGGTGCCCAACGGGCCGATTCAAACAGTGCCTCCAAATCGGCATCGGATACGTCGCCGGCAACTATTTCCCGCTGCGATGTCCGACTCAGTACCAGTGGATGGACTTTTGTGGCAGCATTTCGTGTCTAGAAATTTATATTTATATATATATATATTAGTTTTGATATTTATTTAATTAATATTTTTATTTTTTAAATTATTAAAAAAATTTTCAATAATTACTTTAATAGCATATTGATCATATAAATCATCAACATCATTAATTGCTGGCAATGCAATTGCTGAACAAATTAATGTAGCTAAAATTAACAACATTGTTTTTATCAAATAGTTTTTTTTAAACTTTTTAAAATTAATTTTTACTAAAATAAGCTAGATATAATAAAAGTTATAACTTGTTAGAAAATATTGATTGCTATTTATAATGTTTTTTCCCTGTAGAAAATAAGTGTTATCATAAATATTATCAGGGTTGCTTTTTTGTTGGTCTAATGTTTTAGTTTATATTTTGATACTCAATATTTTGTGCCCATATTAAGTACAATTGAACATAACTATAGAGATAGTGTGAACCTTAAAAAACTGTGACCAACTATTTTATTGTAGTTAAGTTTATCATTTTGTACAATAAGATTATTTTTTTTATTGAAAAAATGATCAAAATTTTTATCATTAATTAGTATTAATGATTAATACTGTATTATTTTTAACAATATTGCACGAGTGTATATAGGATAATAAATTTTCACAAATACAATAGTCAAAAGGGAAGGCATAAAATTTATTTTGAGCACAATTATTAAATAAATATATATATTAGTTAGAAAATAATTATAAATATGAAAAGATTGTATATAACTATATATAAATGTTAATTACTATTTATTATATTTTATTATTTTAAATGTTATTTATAATATGTGGAAATCTTTTTTATTTTATTGTTAATTAATAAAAAAATTTAGTAAATATTTACAAATTAAATAATATTATATACATAAATAATAAACTGCTATTATATAATAATAATCTATATTAATTTATAAAAAATAAAATAAAATAAATGTCTATACATACAATGTCATGGTCATATTTGATAATGTTCAACAATGATAACTGTGAGAAAAATATGCACATGTTAAATTTATAATTGAAGTTTATCTTTCATATTTTATTACATTAAATTAAAAAACTTATGTAACATTTGTTACATTTTAGTATTTTACATGAGTTTTGTCACGTTTGACTTTTAAAATAATTTTTTTTATATATAAAGTATGCTATTTAGAGATGGGCAAATAGAAAGTTTCTAATAAATTTCTGTTAGAAAGTTTTTAGAAAATTTCTCATGAATAAATTTCATTAGAAATTTAACTTTAATGTTATACTATGGGATCCATATATCTATAGTTAGTGTAATACAAGTATTTTAATAAAATTTTTAAGAAAATTTCTAGAAATTTCTCTATTATTTTATAAATTTATGTTTTTTTTTGCCAACACTAATGCTATTATTACATTTTAAAAGTTTTAAAATAAAATAAAAATCAAGTAATCTAATAGTAAATATATAATTTTCAATAAACTTTTATTTATTATTTTATATATAAGATAATAATTTTTAAAAAATCTATTTATATAAAAATAAGTTACTAATAAATAAAAACTTTAATTCATAATTAAAAAAAAATATTTTTACATTTTTCATTAAAAAATCTTAAGTTAATTTTACCGTAATTATTTTTATTTAATTGATATAAAATTAATAACAATAAGCATTATAAAATTTAACTAGTTAATAACAATATAAAATTAAAATATATATAATATATATATATAATTTTTATGATTTTTTTACTTAATAAATTAAATATTACCTAATATAGAAATAAATATAATATATACATGCATTTATTTAACTGAAATAGCATTTTGCAAAAAATTAAATAAATAAAATATACTATCAATAAATCTAATCATTAACAACATCTATAGTTAATATTAAATACAAATTAAAGTATTAAAGTAAAAAATATATAATTAAAAAAATATATGTTAATATAACTAAACATTTTAAATAAAAATTTAATTTTTATTAAATTAATTAAGAAATTAATTTTATAAAAGAAGCAATATTTTGAAATTTCAATTAATCTTTATTATTAATTATTTTTTTAAAATATAATTATATACATATTTTACTAAAATAGTAGTATTTAATTACAACAAATAATTTAATTACTAAATATCTAAAGTTTATTATAAGTCAATGTTTCAATATCGGCATCAGTGGGAGGAACGGGATCTTTGTTGATAAACTTTTCCTTGAAAACAAACTCTTTGGTCAAATGTCTCGGCATAATAATTTCCGCTGCCTTACGGTGTTGGGCATCGGGTGCTCGACCGACAGCAATAATCTGGATAACTGTATGCGATTTTTTGGTAATACCCAAAACACCGTACGATTTTTCAATATCCAAACCGGCAATAGCATGGGCTACCAGTCCTCGACCGCACGCTTCGTAGTGTAACGATACGTAGGCACTGCCCGAATCGAACTGGTTGAATGGGTTGGCCATGATTTTGTCATGATAGAGCTCATAGTTGGGCGTTATCTGAAATATCAGTACCGATGCATTCACGACCCAAACTTTGTTGCCCTCGTCCAACAGGTCGAACCAGGTTTGCCACTCTTTCGATCCCTTACGGGCCCATATGAATCGCCAGGGCTGTATGTTCATAGCCGACGGTGCCCAACGAGCCGATTCAAACAGTGCCTCCAAATCGGCATCGGATACGTCGCCGGCAACAATCTCCCGCTGGGATGTCCGACTCAGTACTAGTGGATGGACTTTTGAGGCAGCATTTCGGGCCTACAATCAAATAAAAATAAATTTTAAAAAATAAATTTTAAAAAATAATTTTATCAAATATTTTTTTAGTAATCTTAATTAATTTAGTTTTTTATTTTCTGCATATTTAACAAAAAAAAATATTTTCTACTATGAATTATATTTATTTTAGTTTTTTAGCTTTTATATATTTTATTTGATTAGTTTATAAAATTACCTTGATGGCATATTGATCATATAAATCATCGACATCGTTAACATTGGCAAACGGTTGAGCTACCGATGCGCATATTAAACTGGCCAATACTATTAGCAACATAATTGATATTATTATTATTTATTATTATAAAAATAACTAAATTATTTAATAATTAATAAAAATAATAATTGTTTTATGATTTTTTTTTATTTTGTCGTTCTCTCTATTTATAGTAAAATAAAAATTTCATATGCCTAAGCTATTGTATTAATAAATAAAATACAATGTATTTTTTATCTATGATTTTATCTAAAATATTACAAAAATTAATTGATGAGAACTAAAACTTAATTTCAAACTTAAATTATACTTAAATTACATATATATTTTGATGCAATTATAAATCACTGATTATTTTTTACTAATTATTAATTGTTAAAAAAAATGATCTGATATTTGTTTTATCATTGTATAACACGCTTATATTGTATCTATCTATTTATTATATATATTATATCTATAATGTAATTATTATTATCTTATCTAGATAATTAATAAATTAATAATTTATATATCTATCTATATAAATATATTTATTAGTGTGTTTTAATAATTTGATAAAATATTAGCTAAATAAATTTTGTGTTGTAATTGTTGAGAATTTTTCTATTAAATAATATTAAGTTTAATTTTCTAAAATATTCATAATTTATTTTTAAAAAAAAATATTACTTAAATTGGTTAAATTAAGTAATTCTAATCTTCAATATTTAATAATTAATAGTGCATCTAATGTCAAATATTACACATTTAGTATATAATTAATTAATTATCAATTTCATCTAATTGATAACAATTTTAACATGTGCATTTTTCACACATATTTTTTTTGAAAAAATAATAAATTATAGCTAATTTTTGCATTCGTGACATTATATGCGTATACAAGTCCCACAATGTACTGTATATAATAATTTTTAATAATTAATAATAAAAAGCAATTATTTTAATTGATAATTAATGATATTAATTAGATACTAAATTTATAATTAATTAATATGAAAATATAATAATTATTAGTTGTAAATTATTAATTAAATGTCCAATTAATCAATTAGATAATTAGTTGCTAAAATTATTATTATTATTATTATTATTATTATTAGTGTGAAGTATTTTGTCACAAACACGTGCAGTTTGTAATTATAAAATTATATTATTAATATTAAAATTAAAACATTGTATATACAATATATACCGGTATAAACTGTAATATAATTGTGATATAAGTTAATATTTATATCAGATAATTCAGATAATTAATAAAAATTAATTATTATTTGAGACATTTAGTGATTTAATTGCTTAAAAAATTTATTTAAAGTACAATTTAAGTGTAAATATAAGGTTAAGTTCACTAATTAATATTTTTTTGTAGACACGATTACAGATAATTATAATAATAATTTTTCAATAATTAAATTGATTATTGCATTAGATTATGTAATTTTTTATGTAATGTTAAATTATACTATAAATAGGACACAAAAAATAAAGAAAGAACATTAACTATTAGATAAAAATTATTTTATTAAGTAATAAAATATTATCAATTATTTTTTAAAAAAAAAATAATAGTAGTAATAATAAAATTATGTTGCTAATAGTATTGGCTAGTTTAATATGCGCATCGGTAGCATCACCGTTAGCCAATGTTAACGATGTCGATGATTTATATGATCAATATGCTATCAAGGTAATTGTTTAAAATTAAAATTTAATAATTAGTTTAAAAGTAAACTAAAATAAATTAAATTCAAAGTAAAAAAAATTTAGTTTAATTATAAAAAAATTAACAAAAAACTAGGATTACTAACAAAACAATTAATATAACTATTTAATGATACATTAATTAATTTATTTGATTTGATTGTAGGCCCGAAATGCTGCCTCAAAAGTCCATCCACTGGTACTGAGTCGGACATCTCAGCGGGAAATAGTTGCCGGCGACGTATCCGATGCCGATTTGGAGGCACTGTTTGAATCGGCCCGATGGGCACCGTCCGGTATGAACATACAGCCCTGGCGATTCATATGGGCCCGTAAGGGATCGAAAGAGTGGCAAACCTGGTTCGACCTGATGGACGAGGGCAACAAAGTTTGGGCAGTTAATGCATCGGTACTCATATTTCAGATAACGCCCAAATATGAACTCTACCATGATAAAATTACGGCCAACCCCTGGAGTGAATTAGACTCGGGCAGTGCCTACGTGTCGCTACATTACGAAGCGTGCGGTCGCGGTCTGGTAGCCCATGCTATTGCCGGTTTGGATATTGAAAAATCGTACGGTGTTTTGGGTATTACCAAAAAATCGCATACAGTTTTACAGATTATTGCTGTCGGTCGAGCACCCGATGCCCAACACCGTAAGGCACCGGAGCTGATTCAGCCGAGACATTTGACCAAAGAGTTTGTCTTCAAGGAAAAGTTTATCAACAAAGATCCCGTTCCTCCCAGTGATGCCGTTATTGAAACATTAACATATAATAGCATTTAAAGTTATAATGATTTTATTAATTATAATTAAATACTACTATTTAAGCAAACTATGTATATAATTATATAGAAATATCATATATAAATGTTAATTTAATTTTTTAAATTTTAGTTTTCATTCATTAAATAATTTTAATAAAAATTTATTATTATTATTATAAATAACTAAATATTAATATTATCATTTATATTTTTACAAAAAAAAACTAATTTAATAATTTTTTTATCAACCAAATAATCATTATTGACATAATATTAACAATTATTTTATTACTTAAAAAAATAAATAAATTGAAAAATTTTTTTATAAAAATAAAGAAAATATATAATAATAATTAACATTTTATAATATGAAAAAACATATATATCTTATAATTAGCTGACATCAGCACCGGTAAGATCCGTATTGACAAACGTATCCCTAAAGACAAACTCCTTTACCTGATGTCGTTTGCTAATCGGTTCGTACGGTCGGTTCGTACGGTCGGTTCACTGGATCGGCCCGTCGGCCAATGGCCACAAAAGTCAACAGTGTATGAGATTTTTCGGTCAAATTCAACAACTCTCTGGTTTTAGTCAGATTGTAATTGTGTATCGGATGAGCTACCAGTCCGCGACTTTTTACTGTATATAATAATTTTTAATAATTAATAATAATAAGTATTATTTCAAATGATAATTAATGATATTAATTAGATACTAAATTTATAATTAATTAATATGAAAATATAATTATTATTAATTAACTGTTCAATTAATCAATTAGGTAATTAATTGCTAAAATTATTATTATTATTATTAGTGTGAAGTATTTTGTCACAAACACATGCATTTTGTAATTATAAAATTATATTATTAAAATTGACATTAAAACAATGTATATACAATATATACTGGTAACTGTAATATAGTCGTGATTTAAGTTGATAAATAAATATTTTTATAAGATAATGCAGATAAGTAATAAAAATGAATTATTTTTTAAATACATTTAATGATTTATTTGTTTAAAAAATATATTTAAAGTACAATTTAAGTGTAAATATAAGGTTAAGTTCACATCATTAATATTTTATAGACACGATTATAGATAGTTGTAATAATAATAATGATATTTTTTCCACTAATTATATTAGATTATGTAATTTTTTAAAAGTTAAATTATATTATAAATAGGTCTCAAAAAATAAAGATAGAGAACATTAACTATTAATAATTTGAAAAACAATTATTTTAATTAATTAATAATATAATATTAATTATTTTTTAAAAAATAATAGTAATAATTTCAATTATGTTGCTAATAATATTGGCCAGTTTAATATGCGCATCGGTAGCATCACCGTTAGCCAATGTTAACGATGTCGATGATCAATATGATCAATACGCTATCAAGGTAATTTTTTAAATTAAAAGTTTATTAAAAAAACTAAAATAAATATAATACAATATAGAAAATTATTTTGTATGTTTAATTAAAAAAATTTTAAAAAAGCTATTTAATAATACAATAATTTATTTATTTTGATTGTAGGCCCGAATTGCTGCCTCAAAAGTCCATCCACTAGTACTGAGTCGGACATCTCAGCAGGAGATGGTTGCCGGCGATGTATCCGATGCCGATTTGGAGGCACTGTTTGAATCAGCCCGTTGGGCACCGTCGGCTATGAACATACAGCCCTGGCGATTCATATGGACCCGTAAGGGATCGAAAGAGTGGCAAACCTGGTTCGACCTGTTGGACGATCGCAACAAAGTGTGGGCCGTGAATGCATCGGTACTTATATTTCAGATAACGCCCAAATATGAGCTTTACCATGATAAAATTACGGCCAACCCATGGTGTGAATTAGACTCGGGCAGTGCCTACGTGTCGCTGCACTACGAAGCGTGCGGTCGAGGACTGGTAGCCCACGCTATTGCCGGTTTGGATATTGAAAAATCGTACGGTGTTTTGGGTATTACCAAAAAATCGCATACAGTTTTGCAGATTATTGCTGTCGGTCGAGCACCCGATGCCCAACACCGTAAGGCACCGGAAATTATTCATCCGAGACTATTGACCAAAGAGTTTGTCTTCAAGGAAAAGTTTATCAATAAAGATCCCGTTCCTCCCAATGATGCCGATATTGAAACATTGACAATTGATTTAAAGTTATAATTATTTTGTTAATTATAATTAAATACTACTATTTTATTAAAATATGTATATAATTATATTGAAAATTAATCATTAATAAATGTTAATCTAATAAAATTATTTAATTAATTTTTTAAATTAAAAATTCAAATTCAAATAATTATTATTCACATAATATTAACAACTATTTTATTAATCAAAATAAATAAATTGCAATAAAATTTTATAATAAATTAGAAAAAGATATTTTTATAATTAACAAAATTCATTAAAATAATAATTAAATCAATGTGCATCTAATGTCATATATTACACATATAGTCCATAATTAATTATTTATCAACTTTATCTAATTGTTGTTTTTTAATTTAAATTAAATTTATGAATTCGTGACATTATATGCGTATACAAGTCCCACAATGTATTGTATATAATAATAATAATTAATATATAATAAGTATTTATTTTAACTGATAATTAATAATATTAATTAGGTAATAAAATTTATAATTAATTAATATGAAAATATAATAATTATTAATTAGCTGTTCAATTATCCAATTAGATAATTAGCTGCTAAAATTATTATTATTATTATTAGTGTGAAGTATTTTGTCACAAACACGTGCAGTTTGTAATTTTAAAATTATATTATTAATATTAAAATTAAAATGTACTGTATATACAATATTACTGTATAAATTGTAATATAATCGTGATATAAATTGATTATTTTATATTTATATCAGATAATTCAGATAATTAATAAAAATTAGTTGTATTTAAAATACAATTTAAGTGTAAATATAGTTCACATCATTAATATTTTTTTAGACACGATTACAGATAGCTATAATAATAATAATAATAATTTTTCCATTAATTAAATTGATTATTATATTAGATTATGTAATTTTTTGTAAAGTTAAATTTTACTATAAATAGGGCTCAAAAAAATAAAGATAGAGAACATTAACTATTAATAATTTGAAAAACAATCATTTTAATTAATTAATAAAATAATATTAGTTATTTTTTTTTAAAAAATAATAATATTAATAATATCAATTATGTTGCTTATAGTATTGGCCAGTTTAATATGCGCATCGGTAGCAATACCGTTAGCTAATGTTAACGATGTCGATGATCAATATGATCAATATGCTATCAAGGTAATTTTATCAAAAACAATCAAATAAAAAAATTTACTAAAAAACTAAAATATATTAATAATTCATAGTAGAAAATATTTGTTATTTTGTTTGTTTATTAAATATGCAAAAAAAACTAAATTAATTAACTTTCTAAAAAGAATATTTGATACAATTATTTAATAATTAATAATTGATTTGATTGTAGGCCCGAAATGCTGCCACAAAAGTCCATCCACTGGTAATGAGTCGGACATCTCAGCAGGAGATGGTTGCCGGCGATGTTTCCGATGCCGATTTGGAGGCACTGTTTGAAGCCGCTCGATGGGCACCGTCGGCTATGAATATACAGCCCTGGCGATTCATATGGACCCGTAAGGGATCGAAAGAGTGGCAAAACTGGTTCAACCTGATGGACGAGCGCAACAAAGTGTGGGCCGTGAATGCATCGGTACTGATATTTCAGATAACGCCCAACTATGAGCTCTATCATGACAAAATCATGGCCAACCCATTCAACCAGTTCGACTCGGGCAGTGCCTACGTGTCCTTACACTACGAAGCTTGCGGTCGTGGACTGGTAGCCCATGCTATTGCCGGTCTGGATATTGAAAAATCGTACGGTGTTTTGGGTATTACCAAAAAATCGCATACAGTTTTGCAGATTATTGCTGTCGGTCGAGCACCCGATGCCCAGCACCGTAAGGCAGCGGAAATTATTCATCCAAGACTATTGACAAAAGAGTTTGTCTTCATGGAAAAGTTTATCAATAAAGATCCCGTTCCTCCCAGTGATGCCGATATTGAAACATTGACATATAATATGATTTAAAGTTATAATAATTTTATTAATTATAATTAAATACTACTATTTAATTAAAATATATATATTCAATTATATTGAAAAGTAATCATTAATAAATGTTCAAAATTTAAAAAAAAATTCAAATTCAAATAATCATTATTTACATAATATTTTATTATACAAAAATATTAATTAAAACAAAATTTTATAAAAATTAGAAAAGAAAATATTTTTTAAATTAACAAAATTCATTAAAATAAAAAAAATATAAATAAATAATTAATGTTTTATAATATGAAAAAACATATATCTTATAATTAGCAGTCATCAGCACCGGTAGGGTCCGTATTGACAAACGTATCCCTAAAGACAAACTCCTTTACCTGATGTCGTTTGCTAATCGGTTCGTACGGTCGGTTCACTGGATCGGCCCGTCGGCCAATGGCCACAAACGTCAACAGTTGATGAGATTTTTCGGTAACATTCAACAACTCTCTGGTTTTTGTCTGATTGTAATTGTGTATCGGATGAGCTACCAGCCCCCTACCGGATGCTTCCAACAACATTGCCATACATGCCATACCTGTTTCAAACGCATTGAGTATCTGGGCCTGTATCCGACCCTTGTACTGGTAATAGTTGGCCGCAAATACAATGACCAGTGCACTAGATTTTCCCGCCCATTGATTATTACGTTGATCTTGTAGTCTAAGAAACTCATCAAATCGGCTTGAATTGCGTTTAGCATAAACAAAACGCCACGGCTGGACATTGTAGGCCGACGGCGCCCATTTGGCCGCTTCAAACACCGAACCTAACTCCGCATCGCTGATCGGTTGGCCAGTCATATTGCGCGGTGAAGTTCGGGTCAGTATTAGCGGATGAATCGGGTATTCAGGTATGCGTTCCTATGATTTTTCAAATAATAATATTATATTAGTTTTAAAATTTTATTAGTTTTTTATTTTTTGTTTGTTTGTTTTATTATTCAAGTATTTATAGTTTAATCAAATTATTTATATTTCATTTTCAACAACAACAAAAAATATCTTGAATTTGAATTATATTTAATTATTAATTAATTTTTTTTAAAAAAATATGTTACATTTAAAACCACTTGATCATATGTATATTGATCCAGGTAAGCTGATATTGATACATAAAAATTACATATCGATAAAATAATAGTAATGAAAATGCTATTGATAAATAATTTAGTTTCCATTTTATTTAAATATATAATTAATTTTATGAAAAAGTTTATTAATTTTAAATAATTACTTTAATGTAATTATAATCAAACTATTTAGTTATTTTTTTTATTAATAAATAAATATTATTAAATTAATTAGACTAATTTAAAATACTATAAGCATTATAACTTTAAGTTAATTAATATACTTTCATCTAACAGGTGGTAATTTTACAAAAATAATTAATTACTTAAATATATCTTTATTAATTTGTTTTAAAAAAAAATAAAATTATAACAAAAAAATCCTACTAATAAAAAATAATATATATTTTAAATAACAAAATTAAATAAATAAATAAATAATTTTATATAAAATTTATATGTCTATATTATTATTATATATAGTTAGTAGACATCAGCACCGGTAGGATCTATAGTATAGATTCTATACAAACATATACCTAAAGACAAACCTAAACTTTTGCCGGTGTCGTTGGCTAATCGGTGTCCGTACTGTCGGTGCTTTCGGGTTGGACACGGCTGCCGATGGCCACAAATGTGATTTTCGGGTCACAATCAACAGCGCATAGATTTTTGTCGACATCGGATAAGCTAACTGTCCGCGACCTGAGGTCTCCAATTTATTTAAAAAAATTAATTATAAATTTATTTCTATTTATATTATTGTTTTAAAATTATCTATATATAAATATTAGCTATCAAACAAAAATTAAAAAACATAAAAAAAATTATTGCTACAATTATTGTTAAAATTACATACAGTAGCTATTGAGTATAACATTATAAATTTTACACTAACTTCTAAACGTTTAAATTTAATAAAAAATAATAATATTATCTTATTATTATTATTATTACAGTATAAGTATTCAATTAAATTACAAAAAAATATATGTGAAGTAATTTTATTTAATATTTAATTTTATATAACTATATAGTACAATAAAATAATAATAATACCGTTACATAGTATTATTTAAATTGTTGAAATAAACAAAAAATTGTAACAATAATTGCTACTATAATAATATTTTTTAAAAATATTTTTAAAATAACAAAATTCAATGAAAAAAAATAAATAAATCATTATGTAAAAAAATATTGTATATCATTATTATACAGTATTACACTTTACATAATCATTTATTTATTTTTTTTCATTGAATTTTGTTATTATAAAAATATTTAAAAAAATATTATTATAGTATTACTGTGGCTAATAAATTTCGAGACAGAATCTTTGTACTAAGTTTTTCTAAAATAATTCGAATATTAGAATGTTTTATATTTTTGTTTTAATGTACATATTTTCTATGATTATCACTTATCAAAATAATAGTAGTTTAATATCTTTGTCTAAAAAGTTTTCGGAATTATTTACAAAAATATTTGATAGATGACATTTTAAAACAGTAATCTTTTTTGATATTTTTATGTTTAAAATAAAAATAAATTTAAACAAAAAAATATTAATTTTAAAGAGTAATATTTGATGTTTATTTTTTAGTAAAAATCAGTAAGTTTATCAAATGCTTACAATTTTTAATAAATAATTTTATCTAAAATTAGGTCTAAATTTGTCTTCCAAAATAGCACAATTTTAATTTTTAATAATGTTTGGTATTTTCGTCAATAATAAAAAATTATTTTATTATTTTCTTAAAAGCAGGCAACATAATATAATATTTAATCATTTTTAAAAATTTATTAGAATAATCCAATTTTAATAAATAACAAAAACATTTTAAAATTTATTTTCGTTTTTTAGAAATAAGTATAAATTGTATTTTTTTGTAATTTTTCATAAATAATTCTTTAATTGTCAGAAATCTAATAAAATAAAAATACTTTTATTATTTTATCAGGATTAATAGTTTTTCTTAGATTTTATAAATTATACAATTCTAAAAATAGAGGTTACTAATTTTGTAGCATTATAAAACTTTAATTAGTATACTATAAAATATTTTTAAAAATTAACAATAATAATGAATATCTCTACTATTTAATACCATAAAAAAATAATTTTTAATTATTAAACCGAATGCAGAAAAATCTATTAAGTTTTCATATTACAATTTGTCTCGAAATATATTTGCCACAGTAATAGCAATTATTGTTACAATTTTATTTATTTAACTTTAACTTTGTTTAACATCAGCATCGGTAGGATCTGTATTGACAAACCTATCCCTAAAGACAAACACGTTTTGCCGGTGTCGTTGGCTAATCAATTCGTACGGTCGGTGCTCGGTATCGGCACGTCGGCCAATGGCTACAAATGCCAATACTGTATGCGATTTTCGGGTCACATTCAATAGCCGGTAGGTTTTGTCGACATCGAAACCGGACATCGGATGAGCCAGCAGTCCGCGACCCGAGGCTTCCAACAACATCGACATACATGCCATACCCGATTCAAACACATTGAGTTTCTGGACCTGAGTTCGACCCTTGTACTGGTAATAGTTGGCCGCAAATACAATGACCAGTACGCTGGCCTGTCTGCACCATACGCTATTGGCGGGCACCAGTAGTCGGAGTAAGTCATCAAATCGACTGGTATTGCGTTTGGCGTAAACAAAACGCCACGGCTGGACATTGTAGGCCGACGGCGCCCATTTGGCCGCCTCAAACACCGAGCCTAACTCCGCATCGCTGATTGGTTGGCCAGTCATATTGAGCGGTGAGTTTCGGGCCAATATTAGCGGATGAATCGGATATTCAGTTATGCGTTCCTATGATTTAATAAATAAACAAATTATTTTTTGTTATACAAGTAATTTAAAGTAATTTTTTGTTGTTTTGAAAAATAAAATCTATTAAATTTATTTTTTAATTAGAAATTATAACTAATTTACTTTTAAAGCAACTGGATCATAATTATATTGAACCGGGTCAGCTAATATTGTTACATGATATACTATAGATAAAACAATAATAGTAAATAAAATGTTTTTAATAATATTTTTCATTATATTTTGATATATTTTATTTTTTTCAGTTAATATTTTTTGTTGCTAATTTAAAAAAATATTTAATTAAAGAGTATTTTTTTAATAATAATAATAAATTATAAATAAACCCATATTTATTTTATAGTTTTCAAATAATATATAGATAACGGAAAAACATAGACAAAATTAAAATTTAAAGTTAAATAACAAATTTTAGATCATATAAACATAAATATAATATTTAATTGATTTACATGTAATAAATATAAATAAATATTTAATGTAATCTATTTGTAATAAATTGTATTATACAAACAATAATAAAAATTATATTTATAAAATATTAAATATGTGTGTGTGTCTAACATACCTGTAGCTACATAAGCTATTTCACTTAATTAATTGACTACAATATGTTTTATAATGTAAATATTATATATGTTTATATATATAATATTATATATATATATACAGTATATACAGTATATTACAATTTTTATTATAATAAAATTTATTAGTTTTACTGATAAAATGGCAATAAAATAATTATTTATATTTCACTTTAATCAGGAAATTTTTAGTTTTAATTAATTTGTCTAAACTTTAAATATAAAATATATTAAATAATATATTATAAAAAATAATATAATTTTTATGATTCATATAAATGATTAATATTATGATTAAAAAAAACATTTAGACATTCATTACGTTTTAATTACTTAGTGAGTAAAATACAACAACAAAAATCAAACTAATTGTAATTGTATTTATATTAATAAAAAATAGTTAAAAATTATTTTATTTAAATATACACAAAAAAATGTCTAATTCCAACAGTTCAGGTAATTATATACTAATTGTTTAATTATTTATTGTATTAAATCTATTGTTTAATAAAAAAATTTATTGACTATTATATATATATATATCATTTACCTAACGGGACAGGTAGTTGTCGTGGATGTGGACAACCGTTTCAACTATTATTTCGTCGACCAATTAATTGTCAAATATGTAGACAAGATTACTGCCGGGAATGTCTATCGTATAGTAATACTGGCGAATCAATTCAAACCAATTATGTTAGAATAGAAGTTGTTTGCGACAGTTGTTTGACTACCCGTGCAATACCCGGCCAACAACAGCAACACCAACAAGAAATCAATGACCGGGAAATTGCTAGACTATTAGCCGAAGAGGAGGGAACTGTATATCTTAGGCCAAGTAGTAGTAGTAGTAGTACTACAAGTGGGCAAACATCTGCTTCCGGCGGCGGCGTCAACACAACTACTAGCCATACATCAGTTGGACAGTCGGTTATTAGCCAACAACAACATCAACAACAACTATATCAACGTCAATGTGTTATATATAATCCGGAAATACTGGGCATTACTGTAACCACAGATAATGCCCGATTGACTAGTGATTTTCGCCGACGGGTTAACCAATGGCCAGTTAATAGGATGGATAGTTCAACGATTTTAACAGTCAATTCAAATGTTGCGAAATCCAATCGGAAAGCATTGGCACTGTTTGTGACTACCATAAGCCCGGAGGCTAACAGTGCGCTGATTTTGGCCGCCCTTAGCAATGGTTTATCGTGTAAACCATATGATCCTGAAAAACATAATACTTATAATACTAATACTAGTAATAATAATAATAATAATAATTTAAATTCCGATCAATCAAAATGTCAAATATGTTTTGACAACAATATAGGAATAATACTAAAACCTTGTGGTCATACAGTTTGCGATCAATGTGTTAGACAATTAGCTATATGTCATATTTGTCGACAAACTATCCGAAATACTGAAAGATTTTATTTATCTTAAAAAAAATAATTTTGTTGTTTAATTATATAAAAATAATAATTAATAACGTTTTTACAATTTATTATATTTTGTTAAAAATCGGTTCTCCCTTTCTCTATAATACAAAAATCTTTATTTATATTAATATATTAATAATTATTTATAAGTTTATGTTACAGTTTATTTTAAAAATTATTAAGTTTAAATAGTACTGTACTAAAATTACATTTTTTATATGAATTATTTTTAGTGTCACACATTGTAACAATATATATAGTATACTGTATATATATTTATATTGTTTATAAATTTAATATTTGTATTATAATCATTTTATTTGTGTTATTTTATTTAACTTTATTTTTTAAAAATATAATTTTTATTAACTAAAAAAACTATTTATAATTATTTTAAGATATTAAAAAATGATATTTTACAAGTAATACTAATAATAATGATTTTTATTAATATTATATTTAAGAAATAATAAATATATGATATATACTGTATATTGATATTATGTTATATTATTGTTAACTAATATATATTAATGTTTATTTAATTTTTAATTTTAAAGTTTTTTTTAATTTTTTTATAATAACTCTTTATATATATATATATATATCTCAATAAGACTCAGTCATAATAAGTAGTACAACACCAGACCAGCCAACAAACGGATGGGACCGTTGACCCAAACCCGACCGATCGTTATACTGTTCCCAAACAAAACCACTTTTCTCGTACTGTCCGAACATATTGTCAATAATTTGCTGTCTTAGCTCTCTATACAACTGTCCGGCCCTTTGCTTGTAGGGACCATCAATACCCGAGTACCGGTTCAGTGCCCTCAATACCAAATAGTTTATATTGATCCAAATGGGTCCTCTCCAGTAGGGAACGCCGTACGGAATGTTGTTTTGTTTCATATAGTAGAAGCTTGTCTTCGACAGTGACGACAGTCCATAGGGTGATCCCATCAGCGATCGATTGCCAATGACTTCAAATACATGTCCCAAACGTGTATTGTTGGCCTCGATTAGGCCAAACATCAACGGAAACAGATTGACATAACCTAACTGATCGCATGTATGCTGATATTTGGGTGGTGTCCACACTTTACGGACGTACTGTCCAGACGGCTGTTTCTCTAGCGATACATTTGTCGAATGATAGCCATAATCACAGTAGGCTTTGTCCACATCGGACCAATGCAATGACTCCAGTAGCCGATTGTCGGCCAACATATCGGCCGTAGCCTTGTATTGGGCTTTCATTGATGTATCGCCAACGGCGTTGGCTATACGAGTCATTACATCGGCCGCCAACCACATCCAACAGCGCAAATCCAAATGATACTCATCGTTGGTCGGATGTGTAGCCCTGGGATAGTCGTCCAGACCCGATGTCAATGTTGACGGATTCAGTTCCCGATCATTTTGCCATCTACCGCGCCATCGATAGGTACCCGGTTTGCTACCCGATTGCGACGTATTATACCAATGAAACCACGACTGCAACCGGGGATATATGTCCTTCAAGTAGCCATTATCGACGGCCTGTCGCCTCATCAGCGTATCGATGGTCAACAGGAATGCCGGCGGATTTGCATTGACATCCCGTTGGGTATTCAACCCGTGAAACCGATCCAGACTTTCCGCACCGATAGTTATCTCACGGGGTATCCAACCGTCAATATTCATCAAATTGAACCACGATTTCATGATAGTGGTGGTCAGCGAACTGTTCCACCATTGAATGACCAGATTATGAAATCCTTCGTCCCATAGGAACGGTCGGGGAAATACTGGACGCGACGGCACTGCCGACAGTATCTGTAGTGGACCGTAGGTTTTCGGCGATGGCATACCCGGCGAGTCAACCGACAGATTACCATTGAAATAGCCAATACTGCCTAACATTTCGCTGATTACCGATTTGGCGAAATCAATCTGATTGTCGGTAAATCCCTTTCCCTTCAACGGAAACTTCTCATCAAACTCTCTATCAAATTGTTTGATACGATTTTGTAAATCAGTTTCATAGGAGTTGTAGTCACCAGTAGTTAACTGTTTGCTATTATCCATAATTTCTTGTGATTTTGTTTTACTGGAAAAATTTGACCTAACATTGACCGACCCTTTGAATACTACTTGATATGCAATAAGTCGTGCGCGAGTAGGTGTTGGTGGTGTCGATCCCTGTTTCAATCCATAGATATCTGTGCCATTGATTTTCATTTTGATTAAATTTTGTTTCAAAGCTCCAGTAGTTTCAATAATGGTTGCATTACAAGCCAACTGTCCAACGTATAGTAGCGATTGTTTATTATTACTATCGGCACTGATTTCCAATGTAAAGTTACCAATAAATTCATTGTAACCTCGAATAGTTAGTGAACTAGTATTAAACCCAGTTATCCGGATGTCATCCCTGTCCCTCGTCAACGATATATACATTATAACTGACATACTTTCACCACCAGCACTGTTGTTATCATCTATTTTATCAGTACTATCGACCGATACCAGTGTCGACCAATCGGTACCAGCACTGGTATGTTTGACAAAACTCGTATTCAGGTGATAGTTACCGTCACGGATAGTTTGTAGACCAAAATCCTGGAAATTATGTCGTTTCCAACCGTAAACCAGTCCGCCCACGTCCTGACACAGGTGTCTGATTTGTAGATGGCCGACATCGGTGGCCGTATTTTTGAACCACATTAGACCTATTGCGGGTGAGTCGGGTTGGGTAGTTCGTAGCCCAAAATAGTATAGTCCCCTGAATGTACCCCATGTATTGTACGGTAATATAGGTTCCATATGAAACCGGCCGTCAAACGGTTGGTTAACATCGGTAGAGTTGCCGGTTATTGGTGTAGTAAATGTTGAAACAATAAGTAATAAATTGAAATAATAATAATTGTTTTTTATGAAAAACATTTTCTTTAGTATAATATAGTAGAAAAAATAATTATAATAATATTCAACTTTATATTATATAAGTTAAAAACAAAACAATAATTTATTTTTATTTATTTATTTATATACACTTAATATTAGAAGTTTTCCACAAAAAATATATCAACACTTGAAATATTATATAATACTTTCAAAAATAAAATTTTAAATATTTTTTTGTTGTTGATAAGATAATGCTTAAAATAAATATGTAACAAATATTTTTTTTATTAGAAGTTAAGTATTTTATTTATTTTATAATGATTAGTATTTTTTTAAAAAATATATAATTTATTAATACTTCAATATTATATAATATCAATATTATCATACATTTGATAAGTTATCATTATTACTATTATTATTTTAGCTAACTTGACATTTTTTATTGTTTATATGATATTATTATAATCTTTATAAAAAAACAAATAAACAAATTAAGACTAAATTTAAGTAATTATAACAATAATAAAACAATCACCTGCTGAGGAAAGGCCTCACATATTAGCCCAGTTCCCTAATAATGGCCACTTGAAATAAATACGATAAGAGTAGTATTATTTTTAAAAAAAATATTATTTTACAATAATAGCTAAATTAATAATATTTTTTTATTTTTAAAAATTAATATTTTTAAATGTAATATATTTTTTTAAAAATCCAAAATTTACTATTTTTATCCTTTATTTTTTGTTGTTTTTGAATATGATTTTTTAGCAATATTTTATACATATATATTTTTGATTAATTAATTGAATATAAATTTTTTAAAAATAAGAAATTATTTTTAAATACTGTTAAAAATTAAAAAAAACAATTTATATATTATAGTTAGTTTATTATGTTCTCTATTTATTTATGTCTATACTTAAAATATTAATAACTAATTTAAATATATAAAATAAATTACAGTTTTGTCTTTATAATTTGCAAATAAAATTTATTTATTTAATAAAAAAAAGTAATTTAAACTAAAAAAGTAATAGCAAATTAATTATTAAATAATCAATATCAACATATTTATTAATAAACTGTTTTAGTATAATTAAAATAAAATAAAAATACAAATATATACTTTCTAATTTAAAAGTTTTAGATCAAATATAAAACTTGTTTTTTTTTGTTTAATAATAAAACTTTAAAAAAATTAGATCTCAATGAAATTGACAATTTAATGGAAACTATTGGCCAATTAAATAATGATAATAGTAAACTAGAAAATTCAATAAACAATTTACAACAAAAATATTAAATAATAATAATAATATCAATCATTTAATTGAATTTAAATTTTTTTAAATAAGAAATTATTATTAAATACTATTAATAATTAAGAAAAACAATTTATATATTATAGTTATGTTTATTATGTTCTCTATATATTTATGTCTATAATTAAAATATTAATAATTAATTTCAATCTATAAAATAAATTACAGTTTTTTATTTATAATTTCATAGATATTTGACTTAATATAAAATTTGATCATTTATTAAATTATTAATTTAGATTAATTATTATATATAGTAATTTGTTTCTAAAAATTATTTTTAAAAAATAAACATTGTAAACTAATTAATTTTGTTTTAATGTCTATAATCATATAATAGTGTATATGTACTGAATATATTACAATGTATAATAAATATTTTTAAATTTTTAAATATATTTTTTTATCCAAAATTTACTATTTTTATCGCAGCATTATATATATATATATATATATTTATTAATTAATTAAATATAAATTTTTTAAAAATAAGAAATTATTATTAAATATTGTTAATAATTTTTAAAAATAATGTATTTAGTATAGATATCGTTATAAATTTATATCTATAATTAAATATTGATAATTAATTTAAATGTATAAAATAAATTACAGTTTCGTCTTTATAATTCATAGATATTTGACTTTTAGTTATTTATTTAAAAATACTATATATAATTCATAAAAATATTATATATTTTTAATTATTAATTTAGATTAATTATTATATATAGTAATTTTATTTTTGTTTCTAAAAAATTATTTTTAAAAAATAAACATTGTAAACTAATTAATTTAGTTTTAATATCTATAATCATACAAATAGTGTATATGTACTGAATATATAATCATTTTTCAATGTTACTAATAATAATATTGATATAATATATAAGATATTTTTTATATTATTTTTTGTATTTATTAAAAATTATGATTCATAATAAATGATTTAATTATCCTGTTATTGATTGTAATATTTGATTTGATATAATTGATGTATTACTATAAATATTTGTGTTAATAATTAAGATTAAATACAGTATTTCATATACATATAGTATTACCAAAAAAAAATTGTTGAAAATTAATTGCATTTAAATTATTATAATATACAATATAACTAACAAGTATTTAATTGCAAACAAGTATTTAATTTTTATATTATAACATAATAAATCAATAATGAGTAGTAGTAAAAATAATTATATTTTGAATAAAAATTGTAATAAATTTGATAAAAATATAAATAATAATATTAATAATTTGCCTAAAATATCAACAGGTTTGTATTATATAATTATATAATTTATAATAATTATAATAATAATCTAAATTTTATTTGTATGTTTTTTATCTAGGTACAAAACCAAAAAGTTATGCTGCAGCAATTGTTGGTGGCAATAGTGATAAAAAAATTACTAGTAAATGTACATGATCAAATTAATTTGAATAATAATGATATATTTGAAGCTGATTTAGAGTGCGCTATTCAACTAAGCAAACTTGATGTTTTTGATCATCAAAAACGTAAGTATAAAAAAAGTTTTAATAATTAATATATTTTGTAAAAATTTTTTTTAATAATATATATATTTTTAAAAAAAATATTTTGATAATTAATATTTTTTTAAAAAATATTTTGATAAATAATATATTAAAAAAAATATTTTAGTAATTAATATATTTAAAAAAAATATTTTAAAAATTAAATTAGTTAATAGAAAAAACAACTTTGCAAATAACATTTATTTATTTAATTAAAAAAATTAATTTAAGATAAAAAAACTAATAGCAAATTAATTATTAAATAATCAATGTATAAACATATTTATTAATAAACTGTTAAGTATAATTAAAATAAAAAATTATCTATATATATTTTTTCAATTTAAAAGTTTTAGGTCAAATAGACAAATTATTTTTTGTTTAATAATAAAAATTTTTTTTTGAAAAAATTTTTTTTAGATGTCAATGAAATTGAAAATTTAATGGAAACTATTGGCCAATTAACCAGTGATAATAGTAAACTAGAAAGTAGCATGAACAGTTTACAACAAAAATATCAATTACTATATAATGAACATGGTCAATTGAAAAAACAATTTGATAAATTATTGATACTATATAAACGTATTAAACAAAAGTATCATGATCAATTATCAACTAATAATACAGATACTGATAATAATAATAATAATCAGCGATTGTTGTGCAAAATTTGTCTCTCAAATGACGTGTCGGTGGCAATCATACCGTGCGGTCATACGTGTTGTTGTTGGCAATGTTGCCAACCATTAGACAACTGTCCTATTTGTAGATGTTTTGTGTTGAGAAAACTGAAAATATATTTATCATAAATAAAAGTAATAATAATTTTTTAAAAACATATTACATGTAATAACTATTTGATATGTTTATATTTTTTTCAAACAAAATTATTATTTTAAATTGCTAATAATATACAGTTCATCACTGTATAATATATTATTCATTATTTGATAAACTAATGTAAAATAAACAATTATTATTAATAATTATAAACTTACTATTAAATAGAAATAATATATTGTAAATATAGAAATATGGTGCAAACATTGAATACATAAGTAAAAAATAAATTATTTATTTATTTAAATAATAATTATTTTTAATTAATGTTTTTTTTTTTAAAATAGATATTTACAAACTTAATTATAAAATATTTTCAAACTTAATTTTATTAAAAATATTTTGTAGATTAAAACTACTCAATTACATAGAAAAATAATTAAATATAATATCAATAAATAAATTTATTATTTTTAAAAAAAAAATTATATAAAATTTATAGTACAGTATAAGTATATGTTAAAGAATTATTATCCTAAATTAATTAGTTATTAGTTATCTTAATATATGAATGCTTTATATAGACTTATACTAAAGTTTTTTAAATTAATAATTATTATATGTTTAATAAATTATTTTTTATAAATAGTACAGTATAACACATAATCAACAATTTTTTACATGTTAATTAAATTTTTTATATAATATTAATAATAAAATTAATTATTATTAATAGTTAATTATATTTAAAAATTTGTTGATTTTTTAAATCTAAAAAATACGATTGAATTTAACTTAAGCTTAGATACTTAAAATCTTAACCTAAATCATTAATATAATAAGTTATAAAAATTAATTAAAATTATTAATAAATATTATTATAATTATAAATAATTATATTTAACTATGTTAAATAAATATATTTTTTAATAAAGATAAATATATTATTTTATAAACTCCCACTATTCTAAATATTATATTATTATTTTATATTATTATACAGTTTTTTAAATAAATGTTAAAATTTTGATTTTTTATATATTTTATATACTATTTAGAATTTTAGACTGTAAATAAATTTGTTTTCTATTAATTTAATAATAATTAATAATATATTATTAGACTATTAGACATATAATAAATATATAATGATTTTAATTTATTAAGCAATTTGAATTAAATATATAGTAAAAACATAACAATAAATAATTTTATTATTAATTGTAAATAATGTCTTTTATTAAAAATATATAACATTTTTTTAAATATCACGTAAAATACTAATTAAATTATTTATAATTTTATAATAAGATATTTGTAATAATATG